TGTGGTGTTTATTTGTATTTATTGCGTTCTATTTATATATCCCGCTCTTCGTCTGCCATTTGTCGGGATTTGTCACTTAATGCACTGATGTCCTTCACTTTCCAGCACAGAGTGAAGAGTGACGTCTTTTTGTCCCAGTCATTCTGGGACTGCAGCCTCAGTCTTAGGTAACCTTGCTTTGATCATTTGTGCAGCCCCACATTTTGGGTGCAGGTGAATTGTCAGCTGCTCTGTGGGTTTTTGCGTCAGTTGATTGTTGTTTTTTTTAGAGTCGGTGATGTAAGGGTCATTGGGTTTTACAGAAGAGCCATCTGGATCCGCTGTGGCAGACACATCGGACCGGCTGCAAGTTTCATTTTCAGCTGTGTGCTGTTTCCATGAGACTTTGTTGCCACCAAGAAAGAAGAAAGCATTGGTCCTTTGTTAAAATACTACCTAAAATGTCATTTGGTTACATGTTGGGAAGAACTCGCTGAGGAGCATCGGTGGAGGTGTCGTGGCATTGCTAAGCTTTGTTTATACCCGCCTGAGGCTTCCCCTGTCTTTCACAGATGGTACCCGACAAACGAGTACGCACCAAGGCTATTATGCTCATGGAGCTGCTCGCTGCAGTATCCTCCGTAACGCCAGAGGGCGTACAAACAAAATGTACTGTGAAGAAACAAGAAGTCAATGTGTGTTACAAGCAAAGAGCCACGAACAAACCTCCACAATACAGAGAGGGAATTTGGGGTAGCGGCAAAGACGACAGGTATTACATTTATAATAGAGAAACAAAGGTTGATTACCCTGTAAACAATTGCATTTAGCTGGCAAATGATGTACTGAATAATCTAGTATATAATCTTGAATCAGTGGGCTAATTGTGACAGTCGTGTGTGAAAAGCCTGCAGCGCCTCACAGCAGTCGCCTAGTTATAAAAATGAAGAGCTGCACTACAAAGAGCTGCGACAAATTGTGGAGCCTTTGCACTTGAGACGCAATAACGTAATTTCCAGGCGTGCGTGTTTTGCACTACCGTCACAACTGCACGAATCAACCTGAATAACAGAAGTTAAATAAAATATATATCAATGTTCTCAAGTCTCTAGGTTGCTGTTTAACAACGGGATGGCCACCATTTCTGAATAAGAGTCACAATCACATTATTTTGCCCAGTTGGTGTGCAATATATGTCATTTGATGTTTTTTTCATCTCTTTTGATCTACTTACACAGAAATGGACATTATATGACATTATATGACGCTGTATAACCCAAACCTGAACACTCTGCGATACGAAATTATGAGAAAATAGGAAATCTAGACAAGGGTAGTTCCAATGTGTATTTTGTTACATTTTCTAGCACCAGTATTTTGTATTTTATTTTAATAACATTAACTCACATTTATGTGAGGCGTATTTTGTATTGTATTGTATCAAACTATATGTTGCTGGTTGTGTGTGAGCGACTGCAGAAGCCCGGGCTGAGTTAGTCCTGCGAGGTGCCGCATTCACACCTCTACAAAAAAACAGTCAGAAAGAGAGACGCGGAGAAGCTAAGCTTAGGTGCTATAAAAGTAAAACATTTGAGTCCATGTAAAGCGTCACCAAATGTGGAGCGATCGCCCCCTCAGTGCAGCATGTTCTGTTTTATGAGCGAAAGGAAGGAAGAGAGGGAGAGAGAGTAAAAATACACCCAGCTCCTGGGAGGCGGTCTCTATGGCAGCGGTTACTATGGTGACGGCACGGCTGCACGTGAAGTGATGGCTGTCACAGGACTCAGGGGAGTTCACCCTTCACAAATGTACAAACTTCAATGAAAAGGCAGACGGAAGAAAAGAGATCACATTCAGATGAATGAAACCACTGAGGCAAAGTCAATTTCCTCTCGAACTTTATTGAATATGAAACTTTTTGCAAAAGAGTTTTACTCTTGCATTATTTACTGAACAGAAAGACTGAATATGTTAATGTTGGACAAAGGTTTGAGTGAATAAACAGTAGCGACTTCACTGAGAATTGTCATTACTTCATGAGACGATGGCAACCCGTGCCGACCTCATTGGACCAACTGATGTTATGGGAGTAAAGTAAAGATGAATTGTTGTTGACGTAGCAGAGATGTCCACCATCGTCCGTGCAGAGGTTTCTCAATCACTTTCTTAGCGTAACAAATAGCATGTTAGTACAGGATTTCAGACGCAACCTTTCTTTTAAAAAGTGTAAAAAAAAGGCTGCTTCCAAGTCTTCAAAGTCTGTTTTCAATGCAAATAAGTAAAAAGCTTTTGCAATAAACGGGATTATCTTTTTTTTGTCATTTGAGATACAGACACTTGATTGTAGTATCTATTTCGACATTTATAACAGGTTGGAATATTATCAGCATACCCATCCAAATCAACTACTGCTCATAAATGTTACATTTATAGAGACGGGGATATTTTTCTGTTTTGCTAACTAGGGTTATGTATTCACTAAAGTAGATGATCAAAACACCTCATGTTGCTTGTATGTGAATATGTGCACGTGTGTGGGTGGCTGCTTGTGTGCAGTGTGTGTAGGCGGGTGTGTGTTAGCAGAAAATGTATCACCACTCACATCTTTGTTGGTCTTATGTAACTACGGTTGAACTGACATGAACACAGCTAAAACATTACAATTTGTACATGTGTGTGTGTTTGTGTGTGTCATGTGCGTGCTGCTATAGAGTTGCTCTGTCATACTGTTTCCATAGCAGCAGCGAGATCCAACGCTGCAAACCACACTCACTTCCTAGTCTCTCCCCATGGGTGGCGGCTCCCTCTGACTGTATTTCTACCTCTTGCTTTTGGGTTGTGTGGAGATGTGAGCAGCACTGGATACACTTCAATGTCCGCCGCACCGTTCACTCACTCAGATGACATCTATTGAAAGGAAATCCAACCAAACACCTCCCATTTCTTCCTAATATCAGTCTCTGTCTCCGCCGTCATTGCCTAATTCCAATGGGCACCATTAGCTCCTGTCTCTTTTTCTCTTGTGATGTTATTTTTAGTCTATTCTGTCTTTTCATGCTTAAGCTGTTACGTGTTACATCAGTGGTCTGTGAGTGTAGAAATTAAGCAGCTGCAGTATCAGTTGCAAAAGAAAACAAAGGGTTTCGCAGACTGCAGGCAGATATTCAATCGTCATGTCATGTCATGTCTGTGAATACTCAACTTAAAATCAAGCAGAGCCACACAATTACAACTACTAGCAGAAAGGAAATAAACAAGCTCGTGACCTACTTTTTTCCTCTTTAATCTGTAGTAGAGATGTACCTTACGGTTTTATCAGCTCAGTGTCGCCAGTGTTGGAGCATCATACTGGTTCATCTGGATGTCAAGAGCTTGATTAGAGGTCAAAGCAGGATTCAACCCTTTTCACATCTTTGGGAGCTTTTCAGCCAAGTAGTTACTCAGACTACCTGCTGACGCTGGGATGTGTAACTGGGATGGATTTAAATAAATCTGTCTTGTGTGACATAGTTTCCGTTGCTCTGTTCAACCATCTTTGGTGCAGAGGATCTCATATAAAGCAACGTGACGCATTGACATGTAAATGTGTATTCTGCTCCAGATGTTGTTTGTGTGTTTGTTGCTGCGTTTTAGGTGACGATGAACTGAAGTGGCATAGTCCAAATAATAATAATAAAATAAACTTAAACACAAAATATCAACACTTACCAATGAAGAGGATTCAACAGTTTTACTGAAGATAATACAATAATATCTGAACAGAAGTTCATCATATTTAAATGAGTTGGAAAAATGTTTTGTTATTCTGTAACAATCAAACTCTTGATGTGACCACACAGGAGAGGAATACATTATAAATGCAAAACAAACTATTTAACAGTGCTGTTCTTTTTTACTCCAATTACAACTTGACTTGAAAATGATACTCCCGATATTGGAGAACCAACCTTGAACATATCTCACTGTGCACATTTTCTAATTATACAAGCCAAACAGACCCTTGTTTACCTTTTAGCTCCAAACACAAAGGGGTCGGACAAGAAGCGGCGGTCCGAGGTGTGACGGCTGGGTTTACACGGCCTGTGTGTCCCAGCTGGCCTCTTTACGCCGGCTCTGAGCTCTGAGCGTCACTTTGGATAAAGGGTGTATTGATTTGAACGTTGTAAACCTTAGATAAATTTTTTTATAGATAAAAAAAAGAGGATGTGTGGTCTTTTGGGAAATATCTTCTCTGGCCCTAGTAGAGCAGATAACATAGTGTCCTCGCAGTGCTCCAACACTCTGTTTAGCATCTGCATTCGTCCGGCCACACTGTGTGTGTGTGTGTGTGTGTTTATGGACAGATAAAGCTGCAGGTCTTATCTCTGAGCCTCCTGTTCTCCCCCTCTACGCTCGCTACTCCTCATATCCTCGCCCCCCCGCTTCAATTCCCCTCAGTCTCATCAGCTGCGCTCCTCATCACCTCCTGTCGTCCTCTCACTCCATTTGTCCTCATCACAGCTGGTTTTCAGCTCATACAGAGCAAACTGGAAATTCAGGCAGCATTCAAGATAACTGGATATTTGCTCTTTGTTCTGTTTGAATGGGCTGGTACTAAAGCATCTTTATTTGTCAGTAGATTGACTGTAGCGTCAAGCGCTTTGATCTGGAATGATAAAGCTGCATGATAAATCCTCACTCAAGGATTTTTAATACCCGTAGTTATCCTACTCATAACATTCAGCTGCGTGCTTTTTAAATGGAGTCGTGAAATGGAGTCACAAAGTGATGTTGTCTCAGACTTACAAAAGACTCGGTCCAATTATAAGGCTGTGGTTTGATGTTTGAAGAGTTTGAAGTGTGTGCGTGCGTGATTGACACGCAAGAGTTCCGCCTCGTGTCGTTGGCTGACGAGTAATGCTCCACGTTTCAGCACAAGCCTGCAGGGATACGAGGCACCTGTTGATGGGTGTGAGTTGCATCAGGCCGTCTGAGATAGAACTAACGCCCCCCCCCCTCTTCTCCCCCTCTTGCCTCCGTAGTGCAGTGTCTGGAAATGACCACCAAGCGGAAGCTGATTGGCCGGCTGGTGCCGTGCCGCTGTTTCCGCGGTGAAGAGGAAGTGATTTCCGTGTTGGATTACTCCCACTGCAGCCTGCAGCAGGTCCCCAAGGAAATCTTCAGCTTTGAGAGGACTCTGGAGGAGCTCTACCTTGACGCCAACCAGATTGAGGAGCTACCCAAGGTAACGACCTCTGATGCACATGTTAATCCCCGTTCAGATGTGTCGTGTCTCCAGACTCAACCCTCAAAGACCCAACTGGCTCACATAACTCCTGGACGACCTAAACCTGAAGGCCAGTCATTCAACCATAATGTGGTCCTTTTAAAAACAAAGTGAAGATGGAGGCCGCGGTAAAGTGCAGAGATGACGTGTTGTTGTCGGCCAACCCGTAAATTAGCATTGCATTAGTTTCCTCGCCAACGGGCCAATGGGATTTTCATTCGATGTCAATTTCATAAAATGAGGCCCGTGGAAAACTTAAGTTTATGATACTTACATCATTTGTACACAAAAGAACACCAGTTATAATAATTTACTCATTTCATGACCTCGTTCACTTTGATTAAAAGTGTATTCTTTTTGGACTTCTTGGAGTTTACACATTTGGATTTACAGCTGTGTTTGTCAGCTCATTCATTTACTTGTAGAGAGCAGAAATATTGATTTTCATTTTAGGGGATTGACAGCTTGGCGATGCTGTAAAGCTCTGCTATTATCAGATCTTTACCTCCAGGGCAAAACCTGTGTGACGGGGGGCACCGAAGCCGTGCTGGTCTGGAGACAAAAAGGGGTTATTGTCTGTGCAGTTTAGAACCTGGCTGTCAGTGAACATTGAAGCCTAATTGTACTTTGTTAGCCTCAGGCGTGCTCACTTATTCCTCAGTATGCAACCTTCTATCATTTCAAAGTCATTTTGGATGCTTCCTCTGTGCAGCATAAACAAAGTTCAAATTCAATCCATTCGAAAAGTGTGTTAATGATTTGACCAATCAAAAACAGTGACATTCCTATAAATAGGTCAAATCCGAACAGTCTTAAGAATAAACAGCATTGTTTTGCTGTCATGTTTCCATTCTACAAACATCATTCCATACTCGACACCGCAGAGGGACGGGAAGCCCCTGAGACGTAGAGCGCTAATGAGGCAAAATGCCCTCACAATATTTCAAGGTGAATTACAAGACGGCTGTCTCATTTCATCGATATCCCGTCTTGGTTTAAATCACGAGGTGGTGAAATGGATTTCTAAATATAACCTGCGTGACTGGGACACGTCTACGGGCTAAGTGGGGAGCCCAACTTGCTATCAACAGACAAAAGGCGTGTATGTTTATGAGCGGCAAGATTGAATAGATGCTGCCGAGGCTACGCGAGTGACTGGCCTTCATGGGAGTGAGCTGCTTAACTTAAGCGTGTGTGAGTAAGTGATTGTGGTGCAGAGGCGTGTGACATAAAGCATCTGACCCCTTCCCATGTTCAGCTCTCTCTTGCTCTTTTATGTTTTTGACAATAGTGACAGTAAGATGGGACAGAGTAAATGTACTCGGCTGTGCTTTTTCGTCACTCTGTTCCAGCCTGTTCTCTGTATTTGCAGTATTTTTCTATAAAAGTCCAATTTCTCTGAATTTTGGTTTCGTCAAGAGTATATTATATATAAAGTAGATTAAATCTATATTATTTCACAACATGATGTGCTGCGCGACTTCCTCGCTTTTTGTGCTTTTGTACTCTCAACCTTTCTACTAGGGATCTCTGTGGTTTGCCAACAGCCTATATTACTCCTTTGTTTCCTCTCTGTGTTTCCATAGCAACTCTTCAACTGCCAGGCCTTGAAGAAGCTGAGCATGCCCGATAACGACTTGTCCAACCTGCCCACCACCATCGCCAGCTTGGTCAACCTCAAAGAGCTGGACATCAGTAAAAACGGTAAAAAGCCCCAAATGATTCCGCCTGAACAATGTAAAACTCTATTGAAAATGTACTGGCCTTCTCCACTGTAATGGAAATAAACAACCATGCCCAGATACACTACAGCAAATGTTCTCAACCTTGCTTCAGTGATGTACACACCCGTGAAATATCTTTGCAGCCACTGATCCCATAACAAGCAAAAAGCATTTTTGGATGGAAAAAAAAGTGTAACAATCAGTTCAGTTCAGATTCATTGAACTGTCCTGAGATGACCTGGATTCATAAAACACTGCTGCTGGTGTGTAATCTCTCCCTACAGAAAAAAAGACAAAGCCTGAACCTTCATTAAATAACAACTTATTGAACCAAGTATTTAACCAAAATATGAGTGTGATGGCATCTGAATGCTTGCTAAGATCACTGTAAGCAGTAGTTGCCTCTCTCTCACAGGTATCCAGGAGTTCCCCGACAATATAAAATGCTGTAAAGGCCTGTCTGTGGTGGAGGCCAGTGTCAACCCCATCACCAAGTAAGACACACTCACCTTGAAGAGTAGCATCTTAGTTTTCCCGTCAAGAGACCGACAACTGTCTTGTTTTTTTTTACCTGCTTTTACATATTTTAATCCCACAGAGGCACTTCATATGTTACAGTATTTGGCTGCATTCACAGAGCCTTTGACCACTATGCAACCATGTATATGCTATTGGCTCGGCTGTGACTAGACACTAGAAGATATAATTACTACAATATAATGATGATGTGGTTTACTATTAGAGTTTTCGCTGTTATGACACTAATTACGGTTTTCCTGTCAGTGGTGTCCATGAAGCACAACTGGACATGAAGCACAACAGACATACATGTTGCTTTTACACATGTGTGTTTGTGTGTGTGTGTGTGCGAGGGATGAGTCATCCGCAGGCTGACAGAAGCTAGCTGTTTCTGCAGGGTTGTTATGGAAACATGTTTTTCTCCATCGTGGCCCTTCAAGGACACACTGAACTGTGTCTTTCTTATTCCTGTATGTGTTCTTATTTCCTTTGTTTCTTTATGCAATTTCTCTCTCTTCCAGACTCCCAGATGGCTTTACGCAGCTCTTGAACCTGACCCAGCTCTTCTTAAACGATGCCTTCTTGGAGTTTCTCCCGGCTAACTTTGGCAGGTAAAGTAATGCAAGTAATTGTTAGTATGTGCTTGCTCCTGCGCATTCCTGTGCAACTGTGCTGGATGAGGTGTTTTTACATCTATAGACGCCACAGACTGTAATTCAGTATATATACTTCTCAACAAGAGAGTCACTGTGTTGTCGTTTTGGTTTATTGCCTAATATGACATTTTCAACCAGTTACTCTGCTGGTTGTATTTGGTTATTGTGAGGCATTGGTAAGGAAATAACGATTCTCAAGTGGTAACGAAAGTAGATCTTTGGAAGGTATTTTTTGCCACATTTTCTGTCATAGCAGCTGTTGCAGTAATTCCTTTCTGTCTCGTCTGTTTCTCAGACTCTCCAAACTACGGATCCTGGAGCTCAGAGAGAACCACCTGAAAACTATGCCAAAGTAAGAGCCACTGCTGTGTGTGTGTAAGGAAAGACACAGAGAGAGAGTTAAGACAGAATTTGAATTGTATTCTTAATGCCACAGTGAGTGCAGCTGCACACACACAAACACACACACACACAGATGCTTCAAGATATCACAGAGTCTATGCCTGCTTTCACAGATGTCCACATTAAAACTAGACAAGTAGGGTTGAATACTGATAAAGCCGGTTAAAACAGTAGTGCGGGAGCTCTATCGGTTTTAAATGTTTTTGGTTTAACTTGGTTACTAACAACACTAACCATAAAAGTAAAGGAACTTCCATCCAAGTATAACTACCAGTGTACAATCCGTATAGGTAATGTGGTTCAGGGCTGATTGTTGAAGTCCTAATCAACATGTAAGCTGTATTTGAACCCAAGGCAAAACTGTGGTAAGACTGTTGCCATCACTACTTAAGGTTTTTCCCTGAGATTCTCAAGAAATTCAGGAATCCCATGATTCCTTTTCAAAGCTAAATTAAGTTTTAAAAAAGTATGCAGCTTTTGTTGACATTGACTTAAGTTACTCCCCAGGAACCTATAGCACACGTGCAAATATTGTCTGTTTTTCTTTAACTAGCATAATGGACGTTGCTGACACATGTAAATCATTTGAATACCTGCCACAACTCAATAAACAAACTAACTATATGATAAGACTCTAAAGATTCTCTCTAAAGTCTCTAAAGACTGTTTTTGGTTGCTTTTTCAATAATATACAGGAGCAATTTATACAATTCCAATTATTACAAATTAGAGCAGCAATAAACAAAAAATAGCCGCAAGCAGAAATATACTACAATGTAAAGTGGTGATAATATCACATGTCTCATTTCAACTAGTACAAAGGTTTTGTTCTGTTAGTGAAATGTGAAATGAAGCGGTGGCTAATTGATAAAATGCTAATTTACAATTAACTTTAATAATTGGAACAATAGTAAAATCGCATATTAGAAAAAAAGCAAATGTAAATAAATAAAAAAATACAGGCAGAATTCATGTAATGTAAGTCATTTAATGCTATACTTTACGTATATATATGTAGTTGTAGTTGTAGTAATCAGTGTATTCTCTCCTCTCAGGTCCATCCACAGACTGACGCAGTTGGAGAGGTTGGATCTGGGTAGCAATGAGTTCACTGAAATGGTGAGAATGATGATTGTATTTTGCAATAAAGCATAAATTACGTGTTAACTTCAGAGGAAGAGATGGCTGGGTGGAGGCGGGCAGGATATGACCTTGGGGTCAGACAGGAAGTTTTAACAGAACTAGGTTGGCTAGCGGGAGAAACCAATGAGGGAGAACTTGCCAGTCTCACCCACTCTGGCACCATCAAAAAGAAAACAATGTTTGCAAAAGACTTTGTCTGAAGACGTGTTCACAGTATAAGTGCTGAGATTGTGTCCCTTTATGAATAATTTAGTTGTTTTCATACAAGTAGCTGCATAACTGCATATTGATGCCTATGTGGTACGCTCATACTGATTCCTGTGTTTGCACGTTAGCCCGAGGTGTTGGAACAGATACACAACCTCAGAGAGCTGTGGCTGGATAACAACTCCCTACAGAATATACCAGGGGTAAGAACGCAGACACCTTCCACTGAGGGACAACAAAAGAAAAACAGCCCCGGAGTTATTTGAATGACACTTCCTTTCATATTTTCTGCACGACTATCTTTTCTCTGTTAATCGATTTCTACTTTCCCGCCTCGCCCTCCCGGCCACAGGCGATAGGAAAACTTCGCCAATTGCGGTACTTTGACTTAGCTAAGAACCGCATCGAGACGTTGGACACTGAAATCTCCGGCTGCGAGTCCTTAGAAGACCTGCTTCTGTCCTCCAACATGCTGCAGCACCTCCCTGACTCTATAGGTACACACACAGACACGTACACACATGCACACACAGAGATAGCGGAGGTAGCGGAGCATTAAAACTCCCACCTATTTAGTCCCTGGTCGGGCAGTGCATTAGTCCCTGGTCGGGCAGTGCAGTAGACCGCAGCAGAGGACTGTGGCTCTACTGGACACATCGCAGGTGAGAACACAGAGTGACACAGCACAGATAACTCAGAAGGGTGGTGTTATTCTATTGCGTTCCTACTAGAAAGAAGCTAAAGGAGAAGGCGTAGAGTGAATACCAGGTGACATAAATAGACACTTTCAGTAGTTTAATACGCAGTTGGACACGGTATAGTTTTATGAAACAATGGTCTAACTGGAGGACATTTAGCAATTGTTTTTGGATATTTTTAGACTGATTAATAGGCATATTTATACGCAGAAGATTGGTGTATGTGAGACTGACTCAAAATAAACATGGCACCCAGTGCAAGTGTGTGGCTCATTAATCTGCCATTAATAGTTTTTGGACAACGTTGGAGCTTTATTGTGAAGGGCTTTATTATGAAGCCGCATCACGCTGTAACACTTTCTTGTCTTTAAATGGCAAAACATTTGAATATTTCCAAAATCTTAACTTCAATCCTGCTTTTGTCAGGAAATTGTTCTTTAAATACATTCCTGGGCTTATTGTATATTCTTTTAAAGAGAATATTTGCGTTTGTGTGTCAATGTGAATAATTATGTGTGTATGCATATTGTGCAGGAATGTTAAAGAAGCTGACAACATTGAAGGTAGATGACAACCAGCTGACCTCGCTGCCTAACACCATTGGGAGGTAAGAAAAGCGTGCACACACACATACACACTCAGCAGAGCATGCACTAAAGGAAAAAACAAATAATAAACGTAAATGTACACTTGCTTTATTTTGAAAACACCTTTGACAGTATGATGTCAGATTTTCTCAGCAGGTTTTGTCTTGGTGTGTTGTTTTCCTTGTTAATAACTGTCAGTTGCAGTTGTGTTATGCTGGCTGATGATTGAGGGGTTCTGTGTGTTGTATTTGCTGCGTTGCCCTGGCATTAGTGCGAAGCCCAAGCAAGGGTGAGTAAAAGTAGCCTACTGGATTCAGGGCTGCGTTCAAAGACAGATAGATGCTCAACTGCGTTACGGATACAAACGCACAATCCCAACTATATGGGATTGTGGGAAAATTCATGCAAATGACATTCAAACTTAAGCTTTAAAAATGTTTGAATTCAATATTTGAATTAAACCTACATTCTTAATTGAGAATGTTCAATACCTTAAATATGTAGGTTTGAGATGCAAATGATTGCATGTAAAATTATTCAAATTATTTGATTATAATAATTAATAATTCTTACTATAATCCATCATAATCCATCACAGTCCAGATTCAATAAAAAAGCATTTGAATTGTAAACATCCAACTGAAAATTAAATTCCAAACCTTATTTGGAACCAAAGAAGACCTACAGTGATCCAAATTTTACATTTATTAATATCGACTCGTTTCCTATTTTCTGTTTGAAATAGTTGACTTGACGTTAATGTTGCTTCTTATTGTGTGAATCAGTCATCTGTGATGGATTAAGACTATTTAACATTCAGTGACATAAAATACTTAATTGTTGCTCTTTGCAACATATTTGTATCCGAACGCTCCGAAAAACCTTTTGTCTCCCTGAACGAATTCCGTCTTTTAGCCTCAATAAGTAGAACTGCAGATCCACTGCTTCCCTGATTACCACAAAACACCTGCAAGGATCCCTTTCTTACCCTCCTGGCTTTTACTTGTCACTTAATTATTTTGAATGTGTTCAGTTGTTTATTCCTTTGGTTCAACTTCTGAGCAGCATTTCAAAATAAGATACAGTTTATACTACTAAACAGATAATTTAATGTTTCTGCAGAATTTGCATTGTACTTGCTTGCTGTTGGTTGGCAGGCCACAGCTAAAATACCTTTTTAAATTGTTTTGAAAAATATCTACTTGACATTCAAATTCAAGCATCTATTGAGGGGGAAGTGGGAGACATTTCCATTCTTTTAGGTAGGAATACAAACTAAGCTGCGAAGGGAATAATGACATTGGTAACCTCAAATCTGCATGTAAATCCCTCCTCCCCTCTCTCCGTTCTGACCGTATGGTCCTCCAGATGGCCGGGGCTAAAGGGAATACTAGTAGCAGACTGATGCAATGTTAATAGTGACAATGCATCAGTGTAGAAGTGTTGTTTCATTAGCATTAGCCTGCTGTTAGCGTGCTGCTTGGTCAGGGTGGAGGTGAAGGGGGGGGGGGGGGGGGGGGGGCCCCAAGGGGTCCCCCAAAAAAGTGGGCCGGGGTCTTTATGTGAAATTTGGGGGGGGGAAGAAACAAAAAACAAGATTTGAGAATTTCAGAAATCAAAGGGGATGAAGTGGGAAAGATAAAATGTGTGGTCTGAATGTTGAATGTTGAAGACCAGATTAGTTAAGTCTTAATAAATTGACCGATTCTTCAATGTGATGATCTTTTCCTTCTCTCCGCAATTTCTTCCGTTTAAATAGTCGCTAAAGGCAAGACACGTTTATTTATATGTTATAGGATAAGGCTGGTGACTTTCAGATTTGTTTTGATTGTCAACAAATCCCACAAAAGGACCATGACCCAATTTGTGGTAGTCCGTCTCTCAGTCCCTTGTCTGTGGCATTCTGTTCCTCAAAAGACAAACTCAAAATCATATCAGTCTGCTCATTCCTCAAACAAATGAAAACAACTGATACCAGAAAAAAATTATTTTCATCTCCATTGTTTTACAAGAAGGCTGGTGTGTGTGGGATTGACCTAAAACAAACTACAGTGTGTGTTCATGGTAAAGAATGAACGACTCCCCGATTCAATGCGTTTTTTATACATTTTGGACAACTATGGAGCTCCGTTGCACAGAGCAATCACTTGCATCAGGCTTTATCTCACAGACAATACTCAATAGTGGGATGAATCCATTCTTGGTTCAGTCTTTTCACCAGATGGAAAAATAAAGAGAAGCACCATCCTTATCCTTTAAAGTGGCCAAAGTAATGTAAGTTTCCAGTAGAGATTTTGCACCCTGTGGAATAATTGAATTTCCTCCTCTCTCATGTTCTTTGTATCTCCTTTGTCCCCCAGTCTGTCTCTATTGGAGGAGTTGGACTGCAGTTGTAATGAGTTGGAGTCGTTGCCTCCCACTATCGGCTACCTGCACAACCTGAGGACCTTCGCTGCTGACGAGAACTTCCTCTCAGAGCTGCCGCGGGAGGTAGGACAATCAACACTTGCACGTATTGTTGTTATTTAGATGTACAACAATAAGTGGATTCAACCTTTTTTATCTTAGAGTCATTATTTTACATCAAACGTATTTCTTCCAGCTTCCAAGTTGCAAAAGAATTGTGGTTATTTTTGCTTTCTAGGACAGCACATTCATTTCCCTTGTTGTTTCTTTACTGTTAGACACAGAAAGCAATTCTTGTTGAAAATTGTTAATTGTAGCCCTAATATTCTTCATGCACACTATTGTAATGTAGTTGATTTTAAGGCGTTGTTTGTGTGTGTGTTTCAGATTGGTAACTGTAAGAACGTGACCGTAATGTCAATGCGGTCCAACAAACTGGAGTTTCTTCCTGATGAGATCGGACAGATGACCAAACTACGGGTTCTCAACCTCAGTGATAACAGGTACATACACACACACACACACACACGGAGATGACCAGGCTATGACTCAGTAGTGACAATAGACACACACAGTCACTCATACACACAGACAGACACACACACACACACACACAGGCAACACTTACTCAATGGCCGTTTTGGTTCTGTTGCTGCTCTCACGACCTGCAGTTGCCATGGGAATGGGAGTGTGTTGCCATGGTTACATGCTCTGCAGGCTGTACAGTGCGTGGGCATAAGAAACATCTCTGTTTTCCTTCTCGCCCCTCCCTCCCTCTGTCTCTCTCTCTGCAAGGTTAAAGAATCTACCGTTCACCTTTACTAAGTTGAAGGACCTGGCCGCTCTCTGGCTTTCCGACAATCAGGTATTTTCTCCTGCACCTCAATGCAAAGATGTGGACATTAAACCAGTCCGTCGTTTGCAAAAATATACAATGTTGACATTTTTACAAGAAACGGCGCTGTTTGAGCAATTTATGTTTTTATTCGGTTTTCCACCTATTAGTCAGGTTTTCTTGACTGTGAAGATCTGAACAGATTTGCAATCAGTCAAATATTCTAATGACCATTTTTTGTTCTTCAAAATTAGGATTATGTTCGACATTATGAATTAGTAAATACATGGGGTCAGTGAAAACTCAAGAATACTAATATTATCTTGTGTGTGTGTGTGTTTGTGTTTGCAGTCCAAGGCTCTGATCCCACTGCAGACAGAAGCACATCCTGAAACCAAACAGAAGGTTTTGACCAACTACATGTTTCCTCAGCAACCGCGACATGATGAGGGTACAAACTGTGTGTCTGCGCATGTCTGTGTGTGTGTGTGTGTGGGTGTGTGTGTGTGTATGTGGGTAGACATGTATAAAACACACAAAGAATGTTAATTATTTGTACTACTCTCTGCAATATTATAAGTATATATTCTAAGTTTAGCATTTGTTACACTCAAGTATGTTGTGCTGCTCTGAAATTGTGTGTAACCTAAACGTGTGCATGTGTTGTATGTTTGTAAATGTTCTTGTGAATTGAATGAAAGGAACTGAGCCGTCTCTGATGTGTTTGTATGTGTGTTTGTGTACAGACTACCAGTCGGATAGTGACAGCTTCAATCCCACTTTGTGGGAGGAGCAGAGACAGCAGAGGATGACTGTGGCCTTTGACTTTGAAGACAAGAAGGAAGAGGAAGACAACTCTGGAAAGGTCAAGGTCAGCTCCCTTCACAAATGTGTTGAGCATGTGGGGAAAAAAACATTTCATGGATTTTTTAAGAATTTTGGAGATTTGAATAAATTTGTGTCTATACACCTTAAACTTTTTTTACTTAAAAAAATACATTTACAGTTTGAAATGTGTTTCCAAGAAACCTGCAATTCTTTCCACATTGCCTTTATGTTCCCTTCACATTTGTGAAAATCTTTTTACAGAATGACTGATGTCTTGTTTGAGATGCTTTAAAGTTCATGCGTCCGCACACAAGTCTTCATAACATTCCGAGCAAATCTTTGCTCACTGTGTATTCCTCATTTCCATTTGTTTGTTTAGGTGGAGATAAACCTAAAGCGCTACCCAACACCCTATCCCGAGGACCTTAAGAACATGGTCAAGTCGGTGCAAAGCCTTGTGGGTAAAAGCGTACACGCGGGACACGGGCACCAGCACCAACACCAGCACCAGCATCAGCATCAGCACCAGCATCAGCATCAGCACCAGCACCAGCATCAGCTGAGCACAGGCAGCGCCACCTCGGCAGGAACCAACATGGAACACACACACCTCAGCAAAGAACAGTACGAACCGCCGTGGCCCCTGCCTCCGAAAGAGGTAGGAGACACACGCAGATGCACAGAGTACCGTGTTCAATGTCGCTACGAAGTGCATTGCGGTGTGTCGTCTGAATGAGACAAATGATCTGGGTGTGGGTGTGTGTGTGTACCAGGTGACAGACAGAGAGATGCAGGACTTCTCTCAGTCTCAGCTAATGGATCAGGGATCTATGCATAACTCTGGAATCGACATCCCCAAGAGGAAGGACAAAGAGGACCTGACAGAGAGCTCCGAGGTCTGTCACACACACACACACACACGCCTACACTCAAAGTGCACTCAGTGCATTGTGGCTCCATAGCATTTGTTGTGCAGTTACGCAATTCAAATCACCTTGTAGGAATATTCATTTTTAAGTGAAAATGTATTTTTTCTTGTATTTTGTAATAAGTTCAACGTCAATACAATGCGTACCAAAACAAAATATTCAATGTTGTGCCAGATTGTCTGTCCGTCGGACCTGTATTTGTTTACGTAAAGGTTTGAGACACTTATTTAAAAAAAAAGAAAAAAATCCATTGTGCTTCTTGAGATACTCAGCATGGGACCTTCAAATATACTAACAACTGTTAAATCCATGATACACTTTACACAACTCATTTCAACTCACATTTTGAAGTCTATCTTATGACCTCTATATTAGATTGTTTACAGCTTTCCACTACAACAGCTTTAACTGACATTAGTTTTGCAGACTGACACGACAAGAAGCCTCCAACTTCAGAAATATTATATTTATAAGGTAAAGAAATGAGTGAATGATTCCAGCTGCAGCTCACTATCAACAACTTGGTCATGATTGGCCTGCATGCTCCCAGCCAGGCTGTACTTCAGCTGAGTGACGTGAACCTGTGGGCTTTGTCTCCCCGTAGGACTCCATGGGTGGCTCTCCCAATGACATCCGCATATCCGACATGAGGCCCACCCTGGTGGAGCCGCCGATGTACAAACCCAAGGTGGTTCTGCTGGGGAAGGACAAGAAAGGTACTGCAACACAGACTCCTAGGCGTACATGTAGTCATTTAATGCGGCCTATCGTACGGCGCTGCAGGGCTTGTTGTAATAGTGTCCGCTAATTAGTCATGGTTGTAAACGGATTAATTCCAGCACATAACAGAGAGCGAGGGGGAATATAATAAACCTCTAAAGTGAATGTAGATTTCCGTATTAGGTGTTCGGGCTTTAGTTCTGCCCTTATTATATATGTTATGCCTGGAAGGCCTCAGTTTCATCTGATTTATCCTGAAGTTTTACAGATGAGCCCAACGCTAATTTCCTTACTCAAAAATCATTATTTTCTTTGTAATTAATTGACTGCCTTAATCCCGTCGACTGAACTAAAACATGTTATTATCTTTGTGACGAACTAAAGCTCTGTTTAATTCTGAGCTCAGAGCGCCATGTAATCTAGTCCTTTCTCAGAGAGATGATTCCATCTAGAAGGGCTTGTCTGTCCTGGTGAGTGTAAATTCTTAATGAAGGATCTTGTAGTTAATGAGGAGCTTTCTTCGCTTGTCGAGATCATTTTAGGTTTGACTCGTGAGCCCACTGCACCCTCCTTTATACCTCCTTCTACATCGGCTCTTTTAATGAGAGTACAATAGAAATCTGGATTAAGAGAAAGAGGACAATATAATTTAGGAAATGGGACTGCAGGATACAGGCCTCAATGCAATTTAGCTACAATATCACACTAGGAACACTTTCTGATGTTGGAAACATCGTTCACAGTTTGGTTTCAATATTCAAAAGGAGAGCTGGTATCTGGGAGGATTTATTAGTCCTAATAAACCTTTTTGAATTATTAATTTATCTTTAGATGGGCCATGTCTCATGTCATGTGATCTTCCGGAAAGCTCAGCTGGTCACAGAAACAACTGTTACTGTGGGTTTAAAGAAGTGTGTTTCAAGTTTGGAATATATTGTTAGATCCTATCAAGCACAACAATATCACTTGGTGTCATGATAAAGATCCAAACCCCATCGGGATGAGATACAGACACGATAACACAAAGGCGCTTTAACAGAAGAAGAGAATGTGACATTTCACTGAACAGAGCTGTCTGTCTCTGCCTGTCTCCCTGTCCAGAGTCCACAGATGAAGAGGTGGATAAGCTCCACTGTCTGAACCACAGCGGCTCCTCAGCCACTTACTCCGACTACTCTCCCTCGCAGGGCTCCTCCGGCTCCTCCAACCCGCCCGGCAACGCTCACCCACACGCACACTCTCACGCACACTCACACCAGCACCCGCACCCACACGCACACGCTCCCGCCCTGCCGGCCTCGAGCAAGGACCAGGCCCCTCAAATACACTGGACCAACAGGTAACGTCTTCAATTTCATCACATCCCTCTGGCCATCCATCATAGCTTCTCCTCTTTCCATTCCAGCCCCCATCCAATCTCCTTCATCTATCATCCATCTGTCCAAAGACCCCCATCCATCCTCTTCTTACTCCATCTGTGTGTGTGTGTGTGTGTCTTTCTTTCTCATCGCTCTGCTTGCTCAGTCAAGGTCAGAGAGACGCCAAAAGGATGCTGCAGACTTCTGGTCAGGACTCCTTCAGATCTTGTCTCATCCAGAGCTGTGCCTTTCAGGCGTCACTACTATCACAGACACATTAGAAAGATAATTGCTATAATAGCTCTGATAGTCAGGGTCAGTGGAAACGCTTGTAAAAGTCTTTTACAGGTATTTGACACATTTTATCATAACATGGCTAAAAATCAGTATTTATGTTTCAAACTTCTAGGTTGTGCAAAGGTTGGCGGTCATCAGTCATCACGACCCAGATAGACGTTTACGTCAGTTCCTCCAGGGATCTAGAGATTTAGATGTATGGTAGCATAGGTTGGACTTACTTATTTGTTTATTTGGTTTCCTCTCAGAGACCATTGAATCTGGACAAAATGTTTTGTATTTTTTAATATAACAGTAACCTTTTCCACTGGAATGGTACGGGGGTAATAATGATAACAATCGCTTCCTTGTCCTCACTGCCTCTCCTCGTTCCGCTGGGCCCCCGCTGGTTGAAAGCCCGCTTTGGTATTTTTTGACATTTAAGTTGTCATTTTAAACACCCTGGGGTGATGTACAGATCACAATCTGTATTGTTGTCTCTTTGTCGGGGTACTTGAGAAAAGTGTGGTCTTTGCAAACTGCGAGCGGCAGCGATGGACGTTAAAGGCATTCATTTTTTTTCCGGTTCCAGGCTGCTCTCGGAAACGTTTATTACCAAAAACATGGTTGTCGGCCAAATTGATCTTCCAGTGAGAGCGAGATGAAGCTATGTTGTTCCAGTGACCATTGGCTTTGATTAAATACGTATGCCCAATGATAGTGGCACTTCAGTATGATTGAGTTAATGTTATAATTTACCTCAGCACAATTAGTGTTTAATATGTTGTATTTTTGCAGGCTGGCTCAGTCTTTCCCCAAACCCATTGACTCCAAGCCGCTGCTGTCTCAGAGAGAAACTCCTCCGTCGGGAACGCTGCAGCAGCGCGGGGATCGGCGCCCACTGAGCGAGCCTTTTGATTGGTCTGAGGCTCCTCACTATGACAACACAGGTTTCGATCCTGACGAGTCTCCTATGGATCCTCCGTCCACTGGAAGCCAGGGAAACCCGCCGCTGGGCTCCAAAGGCCGCAGCCAGTCAACACATGGGCGCCGCCCGCTGCTCAGGCAGGAGCGAATCGTAGGGGTGCCACTGGAGCTCGACACTCAGACGCTGCCCTTCCACGGCAACCAACGCTCCACGCCGGACAATGACCCACAGTCAGGGCATCCTTCCCAGAATCCCTGGCAGAACTGGACCAGAACCCCCAGCCCGCTGGAGGACCGAACCGCTTTTCCCTCCAAACTGGACCTGACGCCCACATCGAGCCCCAACCCAGACCGCAAGGACCCAAGGTGAGTGAAAGGAGTCCGCTTTAATGTGTTTGCAAGTGTTTGTATATGAAGCTTCGTGACCTTCGTTTTCATTTAGCAACCGTTTCAGCATCTGCACATCCAAAATATGTCAAATATCAGATAAAAAAAAAATAATAGTGTATACTTGTTTTATGGTCTAGAATGATAGTTTAACTAAAAATGATAGATTATTAATCTGTCCTAATCTTGTTAACTGCAGCCCTATGAAGTCAAATGTCTCACTGTGAGGGGAGTTACTGCCGTATGTTACTGCCGTATGTTACTGCTGTATTATAAACCACCTGACGTTAGTTGTAGTCGACCTGTAGATTTGCTGGCATAATATGTAACATGCTGAACCCCTTCTTCATTTCCGATCTCATTTACACTAACCTCTCCAGAAAAACTTCTTTCACCTGTCTAATCTTTTCTTCTCCACTGCTGTGACCCTGCCTTAGTCCAAGTCATTTTTTTAGGCTCATATCATGTGTTTGGTTCTCCAAGGCTGGAACAAGGCACGGGGCCTCTGCCCGGCAGCTGGACCTACCACGACAATCAGGGGGAGCAGAACAGGAAGGATCAGCTAAGTGTAAGCGGGGGCAACAAGGTAACCGTGGTGATGAGTAAAAGCTCGGACCGCCTGTCCCCCATGATGAGGGAGACAAGATCCAAGTTCAAGAAGTCACAGAGCATCGATGAGATCGACATTGGCTCCTACAAGGTCTACAGGTAGGTTTGTTGTTGTTGTTCTTTTATAGACGAAAGCAACTTGTTATCTCGTCAGTGGATCAAGTAAATCTGCAAAGTTGTGGCTGATTATTCTTGTGTTTTTCATCAGTATACCCGTGGACAGCTACAGTACATCCATTGAGCAACAGACTAGTTTGGACCGCCAAGACATGCCCTGTTCTATGGAGCAGACCAACATGTCACGGTCACAGTCTGCCCCCATGTTAGACGATGACCTGATCTTTGCTGGACACGGAGCCAGCAACCAGAACCAGTCGGGACAGAAGCCAGCCATCCCACACAAGGCCTACCACTTTGACCACAACTACAACCCCCAGGTCAATAGTTTACTTCTCATCTTAAATCCATTTAATATCTTTAGCAACTAAATGCTCCATTATGTTCAGCAAGTCATCTCTAACTGTGTGTGTGTGTGTCTACTGTTTTGGTCTTTCTTTGAATATCTCCAATGCAGCTAAAGCCATAGGACGTATGATTTCAGGGGGTGTTAAGACACTTATAAAAGCTTTTTGTATGGCAACAAAAATGTCTAAAACCTTTCATGGACTTACCTGTAACTGTTCTAACCAATCAGGTGACCATGGACCGTCGGGTCCCTCCCCCCTTCCCCAACACACCAGATTATGTCAACCACTCATCGAAAGCCTTGGAGTACATCAATCAACCAGGGAAGACATTACCCAAGGAGTTAGTGAGCCCTCGGTATCGTGCGTATCCACCGCTGGAGATGTTTTCTTTCCCCCAATCGCCGATCAACCAGGATGGTGCGTCCAGCCAGCACCAGCAGCCCATCCCCGCACAGCGCTCCAGACCTGGCTTTCTGAGGAGAGCGGATTCTTTGGTGAGCTCCACGGAGCTGGCCTTGTTCCGCAGAGTCCATGAAGCCCAGCAGGAGGCCCTCCAGGAAGCTCAGTACAGACAGCAGGTACAACTGTTTGAAAAAGAATGCTCTGATGTTCAAGTCGTGATTGTCAAAATAATAGCATGTATGAATAACATTCATTGATAAAGCTGTTTGTTGAATATCTTCGTCCCAAAATGCCTTTTTTTTTCGTTTTAATGTAGAAGTCTGATTGCTGTAAACTCTTTTCGCACTCAGGCGGACCCCCCTCTTTACGGTCGGGCTCTGGCCTACTCCACCCCCATGGAGCACTCTGCTCTCTCCAACATGGCCGACAGCCAGAGCCAAATGATGCACAACAAGAGAAACGGTCGCTACGATGACGATTATCCCACCTACCAAGAACAGAAGAAGCCCATGATTGGTTATCCGACCAAGAGCCTGACTCAGCGCCGCCCTCTGTCCGCCCGGAGCTACAGTACTGAGACATATGGAGCCTCTCAGGTAGACTGTTACTGTCTGACCGCGGTCGGCTTGATGCTCCGCCCACACTTTTGCAAATGAATTAGCTGTTTTCTCTAACGTGCCTATTTCCTGCTGATGCAGTTTTTAGACAGCGGTGTCTTTTGTCGAGATTCCACTTCTTCACATAGAGCCATTACGTGAAAAACTGGGATGTAGTTCATGTTGGTATGAACTTGGTCTGGAAGTTACAGCACAACAAAGAAGGACATAAGAAAAATAAAAAAAGTATTGGTATTTGTAAACGCTGATAAATAATTTCAGTATTTCATGTATTCAAAATTAAGTCATGATTAACCCTCAAAGATAAATAAATGACTTTTGTGTGTGTTTCAATTGTTGTTTTATTTGATGGCCCGGCATTTAACCTTTGTGCCATCAAAAAAAAGGACCACACAAAAAATCCTTGCTCTTAAAATGGTGGATATCCAGGCCTGGGTGCAAATAATCCATTTCGGTGTTAATTAATCTGCTGATTGGTACTCTTTCATTAATACTGTACAAAGTATAAAAACAATTGTATATTGTTGGATGACAGGATTGAAGTACAGAACACTACATACTAGACGAGGGGCTTTTATCCACCTAACAACAGAAAACTTTAGTTTCTTTTAACCATGATCACCGTTCTTCCCTCCCCCCTCCCTTTTGGTTACTTGGCTGACAAAGATGTAAAGACTTGCCATTGAAGTTTATGTAAATGACTGCGTGGGAACATTTTCATCCACTCCTCTTTCCACTGGTCACCTGGGTTCAGGTTGCTCCCCAAAATCACACAGCATTCTCCTAAATCCACAAATAATCCCTGCAGCATGTTCTGGCTCTCTGCCCCCCCCCCCCCCCGACTTTCCAAAAACAGTAACAGAGAGGCGTCCAGCAGTGTGCTGATCTCCTCTTCTGAAAGCTTTCAGCATAAAACGAACGGAGCGCAGGAAGGATACTAGGAAACTCATATGTAACGCTCGTGACTGTAGTCTTGTTTGTGCCGTATTTCACCAGAGCTGGAAGGTAGAGGTCGGAATGTGTATCACCTGTTCTGTACACGGTGTCTGCATTACTTCAGTCTTTGTGCTCATCTGGCTGGCATTCTCACGTCCCATCCAACCCTCACAACCACACCGTATTACACTAGCTGACATGTCACTCAACTGAGCGGAGCATTACTTGCTATTGACCACGCTGGCAGATTGACTCTAGACGCTCAACACCGGGTCCTCGGTGCATCGTTTGACACGCATGGTCCACGCTAAGATTAAGACTATCACGTGTTTTGCCATAAAATGTGATTCGGACCCCGTTGACTCAAAACATTACACTTGCATGCCCTGAAACCAAAGCAATCAGCTGGAAAATGCTAAAACTCTCGATCAGACTTGAACGGTGTCATTGGGTTGGACACTGTGAGCGATCCCTGCCACACACGCAGAGTCATTTATTTTCAATTGTTGATGGAGAAATATTTAGATTAAATAAAATAATTTTATCGCTATCAAGGCCAACTCTTTCTTATCGTCTTCATAGAATTTGAATCTTTCGTACTCAGGCGCGTCCAGTGTCAGCTCGTCCCACCATGGCTGCCCTGCTGGAGAAAATGCCCCCTGACTACACTCTCGCAACCTGCCCCGAAAAACCATCTGACGATACCATCAAAGTAAGGCCTGGCGTCCCACAGAAGCCCGACGACATCACCTCCAGGATGCCTCCCGATTGGAGGCAACAGCTACTTAGGCACATAGAAGCCAAACGATTGGACAGGGTACGTTAATGCAAACACTGAAGAGGGAGATGCACACGCAACGACACGCACAAAGCATTCGGGAACCCTCGCTGTCAGTACCTGTGTGAGTCCGTGTTGTAAGGTTGACCGGGTGTGCGTCCGGCTGCATGTGTGTCCCATTCACACTGTCGCTCTGTCAGCCTGAGCCGAATACACACTCGCTTGTAAAATTGTCTTTGAAAATATCTGCGGCCCGTCAATGCTATCTTGAACCTTAGAGGTGCTCATAGTAATCATATTAATACATTGTAATAATGTTTCTGGGCTCCAGCTTCATATTTACTGTATGAAAAGACATTTTAAAAAGTTGTAATTGACAATTTTGAAAAGAACCGTGTGGGGGTGAAATGAAGAATTGTAAATATCATCGGTACCAGTTTTTAATTCATTAATTAATTGTTTGTTTAAATACCCACACATGTGACTACATAGCTAATTGGAAAACATACACACTAATGCTGGAAATTGATCCACCAGTTGTTGCTTGTATGACGCTGTTCTCTGTCTGTATTGACCGATCACGAGCTAACATTTCTCTGTGCTTTCAGCAACTCTGCACTGTTGTTGTCATTGTTTTATGGTTGCTGTTGTTGTTGGTTGTTTACGTGCGTGTGGAGCTCACAGTGTGTTATCGCCCGCTGTGTGGGCGCCCCCCCCCACTGCATTCACCCATGTCATTTGATGTTGTCTCCTCCAATCAGAGTGGTGTCCTAAAGCACAACACGCTCACGCTGGGCATGCTCTGTCAGGGCGGGGGTCACGGCCAGGGGCGCAGCAGCACTTTGAACTTTAATCTTTACAATAACACAAAGCATGAGCCTCCTGCTGGCCGCTGGCTGCCACTACCTCCTCCTCCGTCTGCTAAAGCTGTGAGTATCCCTCTGGTGCTGGTAACCCCTGGTACTGCTCTTATCAATGCACGCTAGCTGCTGCTTCCTCCTCACCGGGACTCCAGCAGCCATAAGCTATTGCTTAAATGTGTGCCACTGTCGCTGATGTAAGTTAGATTGTTTGAATTAGCTTGAGCACACTGCTGTGAGGATCAATGAACCGGGTACCTTGGCGTACATAAGCAGCAAATCCTACTGCATGAGTTTCGCTCAACTATAAGACACGTTCTACGTCTCAAGGTTTCCAAAAAGGACAAAGATTGGAGCAGTCCAAGCAACGTTTGTCTGAGCCGTCCTTAAATACGCAACTGTATTCTGTGTGCTTGTTGTCTGACACGTTGAGCTGTTGGACATCGCATGTCAACACCACGTCCAACCGAGAGCGGCCAGCTGATACAAAAAAATACTCAACGCTTTAGACTGAGATCACCTTAAAAAGCCCTGAGAACGGTTGCCTACTGTGGTAATAGGCAGCGATCTGAACACATGATCTCACAAACCACGTTCTATTCTGATACAGTATGTATCAACTGCATCAGTCATCACACCGTTTTAACTGCTGGGAACATTGCACAATATATGACACCTCCTTGTAACAATATCACACAAACATGTAACCATTGTCTGAAACTCAGGCGGGCAAAGGTTGATACTGGAGTGATTTACTTAAGTTAAATGTTCATTTTGAGTAATGGTCCCTGTGTCTCTCTTAGACCCCGTCTCAACAGGCTGCCATGCTGGATAATGATCAGGAGGGGCTCTCAGGGAGCAACCAGTGGGCTCCTTATTCACTTGGCAGGAGGGACGTCCCACCTGACAACCTTATGAAAAAGGTAATAGCTTTTTCTGTACGCTTTCTGTGTTTTATCCAGCATATAGATGGTGTGATATCTCGTGGCTTAGAAAGGAAGAAAGGAATTTCCGATAATGTCTTCGAAATGCACGTGCATAAGCGCCTTTACAGTAACCCTTTCTGTTCTGTTTCGGTGTGGATGTGAGCGTGTCTGTGCACTTTCCACTTTCTGTGAGATTTCTACGTCTCTAACTTGCCCACCTGCTGTCGACAGAGCGGCCACTCGCACAACCCTTCCCACCAGTCACACAACACCATGATCGTCACCTCCTCTTCCTCCTCCTCCTCCACCACCCCTCACCGTGTAGTGCAGCAGGGCTACGATGGGATGATGAACAAAGGGGGCCAATACCAACCAGGCATGCCTCTGTCAGTGGTTCCCTCTGGGGGGCCTGGGCAGTACCAAGGCAACATGCCTCAAGGTAATGGTCATGAATAAACAAGGAGTAGGATATCCCTTTGACCCTTTGAGGCAAAAATCTCATTATTGGGGTTGCAAGCAGTCATCCAATTAAGCATCACATCCAATCAAAGTTCAAAAAGAATTGAGAATGATGTACGATATTTGTTTAGCAACAATGATTCTTTTTTAAAAACCCTTTTTGAGGGTGACATAGTAACAGCTTAGGCCATCGCCAACAGCATCCGTTAGCCGCGGAGCTTACTCTGGGGTTTGTTGTTTTATTTGATTCAGTTCCAGCTACTGTAGCAATAACATTTGAATTAGATTTCACTCTTTTGAAACTAGATATCGGTCAGTATACAATAAAGTATGTCTGCCATGTGTCTCAAATCGACAGCCTGCTCATTAATCAGTTATATGTAGTACAACAACAGAGTGTTAGCAGTTTATTTTTTTCCCCATCCAGGCCATCCCGCCCCTGGACAGGGCTACCAGGGTTCTGGCCTGCCCATGGCTCTGTCCCCGTCTGGGAACCAGCCTCAGTACAACCTCCATTCCTCCCACCCATCCCATCAGCCTGCCACCAACCCTCAGTACCACGGCAACCAGGGCATGGTCCATAGCAACCAGGGCATGGCCCACAGCAACCAGGGGATGGTGCATAGCAACCAGGGGATGGTACACAGTAATCAGGTTGTCATGACTCACACTAACCCGCGGCCTCAGAGCGCTCGCTGCCTGTTGCAGACTAAAGGCCAGAAGAGCACAGATGGTTTTCAAGAGCAGGTATCAGTGTGTTTGTCAATCTCTCTGTCTATCCTCAGTAACCACGTCCCACTCTATCTTGGAGGTCGTTTTAAAATGGGCATTGCTCACATGATGCTGAGTACAAAATAATTAGGACATAAAGGATTTCCCTGTCGTGGGTGTAGTTAGAGTATACTGCAAATATCAATAAAACCGTAAATATACAGTAGAACGATTTGATCTAACACACACACACACACACACACACACACACACACTCACAAAATGAAAGAGAAATAATGCAAGATGTGAATGACTTGAAAAGCCAAGTTTGGAGTTTTAGATAACATTAACCATTAACCAATTAGCCAGATCAGGACATGATGGTTACCAAGTGGATTTTTAAGAGTCCACAAGAGGCCAACAAGCTCTCAACTAAAGAACACAAAATCTTAAAATAACTGGGACATGTTAGTGTACTTTTAGCCAGATGACTGCAACAGGACTTTGTTAGAATGAGAAGGTCTAGAAACAGCGACCGAGGCGTAGCTCTAAATCAGATATTTCACAGATGGATCAATGTACCTGTTTATGGAACATGAAGTCATTCACACCACAAAGATCAGATGATCTTCCTGCAGGGTTTTGCTTTTCCCTTCCTAGTGTGAGAAGGCTTTCATTATGCCAACTAAATTAACTCTGACAAGGATATTTGTGGCTCAATTGTGGCTGCCAAAGAACTGAAGACCTCCAATATAGCTGCCAAAGCGTGTCACACATTGCATGAAAGCACTCCTCCATCGTGGTACATGTTGTCGACACACTCTCTGCTTGTGTAGAAACTGGTATGATCTTATTATTTCACTGTCGCTTGTCTTTCTTTCTTTTCTGTGTTTCTATCTCTCCCCCTCCTATCTCTTTGTAGTTGTGTGTGAGAATAGAGAAGAACCCTGGTCTTGGTTTCAGTATCTCTGGTGGCATCAGCGGCCAGGGGAACCCCTTCAAACCCTCCGACATGGTATGACCCGACCTGGCCTGCCAGCCAATCACGGCCCCTCCCACCCCCCGGCTTTACCTTCAAAGTTGCCATGGAAACTGCTGCTCGTTCCGCAGCGTTTAGTCTGTCATTCTGTCGGTGAGGCAGCGGTTGACTTAAACTTTGAGTGGCTTTGAGCTTCTGATCTCACACGACAGACTTTTGGAAAAACAAATTGTTGATGACAACTAAACCACTTGAAATATTACACATTTCCGTTACAGGATAGATAACTTAAGTAAAGTGATACCTACCCGAGTTTGGCAAACTATGGCAAACACTGTGCTTGAACAAACAAACAATCAGACGAGCTTCGATATTTTAGTGTTTAGTATATAGATTTCATCGTTTTGACGCGTGGCTCTGACTGATTCCGTCAGTGTGGCCTGTGTTAGGAGCCTGCTGGGGTTGCAGGTCCCTCAGGCCTCCTGCACACGGACATCTGTCCTAGAAACATGCTGCTATAGTCGTTCTAAAGGAGCGAGGCTGCTCGTGCAGCTCTGACAGCTATTTTAAGGAGGCTGCTTTAGTTCTGTGACACTGGGGGTGATTTCAGATGTTCTTGACTTTCATCTCAGGATGTAAAGCATGATGATGAATTTCAGATGTTGAGTAACTGACGCGACCGCCGGTCCATAAATAGAAAGCCAGCAAGAGGAATGCTTTAAAACATTCGGTCTAGGCGCCCATTGGACGAACGGTGAGTTTATTTAAGTCGGGGGTGTGAAGTGAGGATATAGAAGCTGTCACATTAAACATTTAACTTGAGTTTTGATTAGACAAGTAGTGACTCAATTGCTGACATGATCAGTTATCTAATGCCCGTATATACTTGTATCCATAAAGCTTCCCCGGCTGCACTCCTACTACTCTACTTAATCACCTTATTCTCACTATGGCCCTCTAATTAATTTCACTCCATTGCTTTCATGCTCTTTTCAATGGTTGTCAACTCAAGACCGATTCATCTTCAGCTCAAAGAAATGCAGAATCCTTTGATTTTGTTTTTTTAAATCATTTTTTCTGACTTACTTCTGTGGACTGTTTTGGCTTTTCTGCGTATATATTTGTCACTATAACACTCAAACGGTAGACATTTCTAGGTTTGCATTTTCTTTGAATGTAAATGACTGGCTAGTTTGAGGCCAAATTGAGCCAAAGTTCGGTGGAAATAGGTAAAAGTAAAGGATTTAAAACAGGGCTGCACAACAGAGCTGTGGTGCCCCCTTGTGGTTAGATTGTTGATTGCAGCCATCAATTTATTTGGGCTATTAGAACACACTTAGATTCCAGATTAGTCCTTGGTCTTGTAAAAACACAATTGGAACGGTACCTTCTGTAAAATGGCATGAAATTGTCAGTTTGCCATGTAAATCGGTGAGTCTGTTCCCGGATTGACAGGATTGGGATCCTGGGCTTTAACGTGTTTTCTTCTCAGGCTCGGTTTAAGATTTAAGAAAACAAAGTTATAAGGCATGGAAATGGATCTTTTCTCAGATCTTGCTCATTATTGTTTGAAAGTCCAATTTGTTGTTCCTGATGTTGCTTAACATGTTGTCTTTGCACACTGAGCTGCTGTCGATAACATTCTTATTAACCATCATCGTTTGAATAAAACTCCATACATATTATCACTGAGCTGCAAAAACCTCATCCCCAATATTGTCCTGATATATAAATCAATTTTTCAGAATTTCTGAAAATATCTGAGATTTCGATGCAGGGTTTTTGCAGGGCAATGCAACTTTGTGTGAAACTGCTTTATAATGTTCTTAACTGTTTAATTGTTGTGACTGAGGCTACACAATTCTCAGCTGCTAACAAACATATAGTAATGTACAGTGAGCTCCATATTCCATATTCATACTTTCTCAGTATCTGGGTAGCAAAGTAGGCAAATTAACTGACCAGATCCAAATAACAATCAATGTATGTCAGCAAGTTAGCAAACACTGCATGTATGCACCACTTTGCATACAAAATGAAACCATGTTATGCCACATAATGACAATGATTTGATTTTACACTTATATGGGGTTCACTGTATAGCGATAACTAAACTATGTTCCTGACATGTACACCTCTTTAACACACAATATATGTGTTTGTTCTTGCATTCCCCCATAGACTGTGGTATGAAGGTGCCCCTGCCCCGTCACTACTACATTGTATTGTTAACTTTATTTGTCACGCTCACTGTTCAACACGTCCACGACGCGTTGAACCGCTTTGAGTCAATACATATGCATTGTCCCACACTATCTGTGTTCAAAAACATCTTTCAGCTCTCAGTGAAAAGATGTTGGTGTTTTTAAAATCTCTGCCTTGGGTTATTGAAGGAAAATATAGGGGATGAAATATCTTCTGCCCTTCCTGCTACCTACTTCTTCCCCCCTACTCAGTCCCATCCTGCACCTATTCTTCTCGCCCTATTCTACATACGGGGTATTTACCGTATATATCTATTTCTCTCTCTTCTAACCTCACTTCCTCTATGCAGAGTCCTCATCTGTATAAATAGCTGAGAAATCATTTGGACATGTGTAATGTCGTTTTGAGTCAATGTTTCACTCAGCATCTGTTAGTGAAATGATGCCAAAAGTAAGTCAACACAGGTTCTTCTTAACTTTAACTCTATTTTCATCATGAATTGCATGATTCTAAATTTAGAACAAAGAGAATTCATCTGTGATCTGCCTGTACATCTTTGGCAGTAATGTGATTTTCTTTTTTTCGGGGGTGGGAGCGGTGGATATAGAGAATGAGAAAGGCAAAGATTCTAAACCATCGTGTCCCTGTGTCGTCCTAACTGTGTATCATTTTGACTTATAGGGTATCTTTGTTACTAGGGTACAGCATGACGGGCCTGCCACCTCCGCCCTGCAGCCCGGAGACAAGATTCTGCAGGTAACGTCCCCTCAGTCGTCCTCAACTGGGCCAGAAACCTCCTGCCCTCCCTCAGCCGCCCCTTGTTTTATAAACACACAGGCACAGCATTCAGTAGGACGTTGTGTACCCGTTACCTACCACAGCTGGCTGGACATTTGATGCATTTTCCCGCCTGTATGTTCTGCCTCCGCGTGTACCTGGTGATCCTAAAATCAGGCATGACCCCCCCCCCCACCCCTTCCTCCCACCATCCCCCGCCTCCCCGCGCCCACTCTTTCTCATCCCTCATCAGATTCAAAAGATTTTATTGTCAGTTACACACGCCCTGTGTATTGAAATTCTTGCGCTTGCCTTTTCTGGAAAGCCAAGCAATTTTAGAATAAAAATACAATATTTACATAAATGTACATGAAATAAAAATAAAAATGAGGTAAGGTGGAAAAGTGCAAAACTGAGCAGGTTGGTTATACATATCACTATGAGGATTACTGTGAGACCGAGGACGTTTAGAATTTTCTAAAGGATGTCGGCGATATTGGCAACAATGGTGTGGCGTCATTTGTCTCCACTGAAGGGCTCAGTTGTTGATAATGGCTGCCACTTAGAAATCACTGCACAAGTTTAACGTGAGACCAAAGAGGTTTCTGCTTGTGCCTGCGTTAGGTTCATCACAAAATACGTTACAAAGACGCGTTATGTGTACAAGCATTCAGCGAAGAAAAGGACACAAACCATTCGTACACAGACGCATCATCGAGGGAGACATTCACACATGGATTTGTTTGACCCTGAGGATCAGACAACAATCAAACAAATGCAAGTATTTTTTGCCACTTAGATATTTGCAGGTCAATTAACGCTCGTTCTAATACGGTAACTTTGGAGACTTTGGCCTCGACACAGGGAACCTTTCTGGATCGCAGCGTGCGGTAAGAATTACAGTGTGTTATATTTGAGATGAGCGGATTGTCTGAAATATAAGTTGAGATAAAAAAGAAATATGCGTGCACTACAAGTAAACATTCATTTTACTGCAGGGATACTTTCCCAGGGGCGATCGAAAGCAATTGAATCAATATTCACTTCCCCTGTAGATCGGTCAAATTGAATCAATAAAACCTCCACAGAAATTATTCATGATTATTGACTTTATTTGTATTTACTGTAGCTATCACGTCAAAGCAACAGTGAGGTCCAAAAGGAAGCGCGAGGATTGTACTGCGAGGTGAAAATGAGACGCCAGTCTCAATGACAGATTGACCCCCCCCTCTCTTCCCTTCGTGTTTGGCTCCCCCGTCTCCTCCCCCCTCATCTTCTCTCCACAGATGTACAGTTTAGCTGGATGAACTCATCTAAAAGCCCTTTTTTGTCTTTACCCCTTCTCTCTCTACAGCATGACTGTGTAGCTCCTCCTCTTCTCTCTCTTTTCCCCAACAGTGATGTGTTACTGAGATAATGATGGCAGTGACCCTCCATCCTTCCACACGCACACACACACACACGCACACCCACACACACACAAAGGCCTATGTACGGAAATTCTGCAGCACACGTACCTCTATACATACATGCACACGCACGCATGCTGTTGACTGTGCTGCGTGTTTGCCTTGCAGGCTAACGGACATAGTTTTTTACACATGGAGCACGAGACAGCCGTCTCTCTGCTGAAGAGTTTCCAGCGGACGGTGGACTTGTTGGTTCTGAGAGACAGCAGCACTTGCTAAAAAATAGTTTTATAACAAACAAACAAAAAGAAAAACACGACAACGCTTCTCCACCCCGCTCTTCGCCATCCCCGAGCCGCTTCACCTGCCCTCCACTGCAGGCTCGTGGAACTGAAATATGAGCCGCCTTTTTTTACCTTTGTAGGGGACATTTATTTGCCTATTGCTGGACCAAAAGGCAAATACTAGTGCCAAACGTACCACAGGAAACATATCGGCTCCTCTGTCTCCCGGCGGTCAGGGACCTGATCGACGTCTGGACGGACATCCAGAGGACTCTCTGAGTCCCTACAGGGCTGCTGCAGTTTGGATCGTGTGGTTGTCAGTTAGGCAGTCATCCGATGAGTCCGATGAGTTTGTTTTTGTGTTTTTGCTTTTCTCCACTGCCTTTCATTTTGCCTTCCACGTTAGATATTTATCCATTTGTTCGGTGCAGCACGCGATTCACTTTCCATGTTTTTTATTCCATTGTTCTCTTTTTCCTTCTTTTGAGCTGCATCTCCTGTTCTGTTCTTCTCTTTCTAACGCTGTCTGGTGTTTTATTCTTTTCGGCTGTCTTCTGTTTTGCAGGTATTTTTGCCTCCAGTGTACAGAAACGTAAAAGACTTTCTGCCTTGTGTACATATATTGAGCTGAAGCTTTATGGAGCTGCACTCTCCTTGGGGCCTGGACAGACGGCTCTGAAAGTGTATTATTGATATAAATAGTGTTGATAAACTCAATTCTGAATTCTGTCTTTCGAACATACAGGGATTATTTCTCCAAATGGACCATTTTCTAAAGTATACAATTTTTATTTTTTTTTTTCTGTAAAGAAAACACTGTTGATAGTTCATTACTGCTTCTTGTTTTATTTGTTTGTGTTGTTATTATTTATTTTATTTTGAAACTGTTGCTTGCACAGGTGTACTGATAAGAGCTAAAGCAATACTAGTGAGGCTCGGCCCATTGAGATTTTCAGCAGAGCCTAATTTGTCCTACAGTGCCATCTATTGAGCAAATCATGCTAATGTTTACACACACTGCCATGCACATGCGCTAACAGGCAAACACACACACTCAGTAGACATATGTGCCCCCATATCCAACACATATGCAATGTTCAGTTTACTATTGATAATGAAGCCGTGTCCATATTCTAGCCTGATTCTACAACGACGCAGGTTGCGCACACTCAAACGCTGTAACATTACTCATATCTGTGCCATGATCTGAAGTTGGGTTTTCCAGTGTTGTTACGGCGATGTTACATGCTTTTTTTAGCCGTTTGGGTTGTATGATAATGTCACAGCATGCTTTCATATTGTTGGTCACTCTCAGCCAGCCTTTTTCTGTTGGCTTACAGAGTCCTCAACTTTGTAGAAGAGTCGTGTTGAATTATACCGCTGAGTTTCAGTGAGGCTGATGTTGTGTAGTTGGCGCCATACGGACCCTCTGCCCCCTCCCCGGTTGTATTTACACACCGGCCCGAAACATCTGAGCTTTCCCGCCTTGTGGCCCAGATCTGATCCGCACACAGTGAGAGCAGCAGCGGGGCGTTTTTTAAAGTTTGGCTCGGCCTCCAAGCATCCGCTCTGCCCAAGTGTCTTGACCTCTGGCCTCCCTGCAGAAAGCACCAAAACAGAAAATATCAACAATATAACTTTCTTAAAAGGGTTAAATCTGCAATCAAACAGATGGTCCCCTTTCAGACAATCAGGGAAAGATCTGATCTGTGCCACAAAGACTTTTGGCTGCACTTGAAATGTCAGTGTAACTTTTATAACCTGAGGAGCTCCTAGTTAACACTAGATGTACATGGAAATATTGATATGCCAACTTTTGGTTGGCGAATTTTCAAGATTAGATGTGGATAGGGAGAGAAAATAAACTGATTGTATGCGAGGTTTCTGGTGCCATGTAAATGTAGTCTTATATAATCTGACCTCCGTGGTCATGATAAAGAAAACGTTTAGACTTGACAGTCTGACCACAGGAAGAGATTGAAGAGGTTCATTTCTGTCTCTGTGTAAATGCAACACTTCATGACAGTGAGTTTTGTTTTGTTCTGTTTAGCATCTGATGTTTCATCCAGAGCAAAACAACATCCTTACCTGTCCTTTGCTTTTACTTGACTTGACAGTGTCACCCTGTGCCCATTGCGTGTCAGCCCTCCTAATAAGCGTTTAAACTTTATTCTCTCAGAATAAGGGACACAAAATGGCACAGTTTATTCTTGTGGGAGAGAGACTTGATCTTAACCACTGATACCCAACCTACTCTCTTTAAAGTTTGAAATATCAAAGATATTATGAGGACAGAGAAAAAGGTTTGATAATATAATTATTTTTTACTACATGTTTCAGGTAATTCTTTCTAAATATATTGATATACCTTAGCTTTGCTCAAACAAATTGTGATATTTTATAATAATGACACTTATAACGAAGTTATGGATGGAGGTACGCACAGTATGACTTGGAGACCTACACATGTACTATCCAAAACTGTATAAAATGTATTTCTACTGTAATTGTGAATTTGTGTTATACAAATATATATTATATATATATGTATATGACTATAAAAACAGTCATTTTCTATGTGTTTAAACTACATAAGAGCAGAACAAATGCTGAGGACGGTATCATTGTACATAGCTGTGAATGGAATCCAATTTAAAATGACTCATATTGATTGTGAATGTACCCATGCTTTCTGCAGTACCTACACATACCCAACTTGAATGCTGCTTCTTCTGTTGTGTGACAAAAGTACTTTGACCTCCGAAGAGAGAATCGCTGTCGAGTTATAAGTTGGACAAACTTTGGTGATGATTTAACAGAACTATTTATTTATTTATTTGCACATGCAAGTTGAAATCCTTCCAGTTTTAAGTTTGAGTATTATCGCGGAGAAATGTTATTGCAGAAGTATATATAATATATATCATGTGTTTAGAATGCATTTTGCAGACGCTATCTGTAAATAATATTTAAGATACAGTTTTTACAAAAAATAATATATGTATAAAATTGAAAAAATGCTGTGCAGCGATTATACTTGAGCCATTTTGGGCTTTGGGACGTACCATTTTTTCAGTATATAAGAAGTGTTTTGAATAATGTACTAAAGTCTCTATTGTACAAATAATAAAAATGTCACTATTGGTATTCTGGGTTCTCTCCTGGTGCACTCAGCTTTATCTTCTTGCTCTTCCTCTGTGTGCATCCTTATTGCTGTAAGTAGAGAAATGTGTGCATAGCAGATAAGCCGTAACAGAACGAGGGAAGATTCGGGGGAAATTAGGAAAAGGAACAGTTATTACAAAAGCATGTAGAGAATGTATACTGGGACGGACAAACAAAATAACACGATCACAAACACAAATAATGAGAAAACTACCATGTCAGGGTGCCAAATAAGGAAAGGAAATATAGGAACGTATAAAAGGCAAATGGGATGACAGGGGAGGAAAGAAGATTAAATGGAAGTAAGTAGATATGAATAGAGTGCACAAAGAAGTGAGGGATTGTTCAAAAAGGGATGAGGTAAAGGGAAGAGGAGAGGTTGGTGACAATCTCCTCAGCAGGTCTGAAGGAGATTTTGGTTTCCTCTGCTTCTCTGGATTAAAGTCACGAGCGACTCTCGTTGTCTCAGCAGATGCTCCTTTGTCTCTGTGTCCATTCGTATAACAGCATCACTCCTCTCCATCCGTCCCCAACCGTCCATCTCATCTATTTCTTGACACTTATCTAGCTTTGGCTTACGGAGGGACGGCTGACTGTGTCAAGCCGCCTCACAAACTGAGCTTTCTCATTAAGCTAAATAAGTATTTTTCATTTCTCAGCAGCTAAGAGGGAAATTCTGGTCTGGTGTGATAAATATTAGGTTTTAAAAAATTCAGCTGGATTTTGCTAGTGCTTGTTCCTGCATTCACCAAGTCCTAAACCAGTTATTATTTCCAAACGGAAGGCTTTGATGCTGATGAGAGTTCTTTTTGCTTCCTACAAACTCTTGACCTCTCAGCCAGCGTTACTTTATTTGCTCCATTGTTAGCCATTAATGTCCAATTAAGGAAAGTGTATGCTTATTTATATTTCCTTTTTTATTACAACAATTATACATTTACATGAAAGATAGCAGTATATCAAATATGCCTTCTCATACAAGACTTATCAATGTATAAAGTATTAGCTTTAGTAAACTATTGACTTTTATTATTACACATCGTACACAACACGGATCATTATAAAACTGCAGAACACGTACTTTTCCTTTATGTATGTTTGGCTGATGCAACTTGTGGACTTTTATGTAGAACTTTTGCTTGTAATTTACTTAGTTTGACTTAGTATCGCTCAAGTTAAGGATTTGATGATATAGTGTGTAATAACAGGCCTGCTTGGATTATAAGGCATCATTGGCGCACAAACTTTCTGCCCCGTGTCTGTCTTCTATTGCTGGCTTTGGTGCCCTTTGTAGAACAACTCTGCTTTCTGTGCTGCAGGCCGACAATTAACAATAGAGGATAATACGCTCACACACACATTGAAAACCCCCCAGAATGATGTCCTTTTGTCCCCTTTCCTCTTTCCCCTGTCTTTTTTACGCGTCGGTTTGTACAGAATAATACTTCTGTGTGCTGACTGACCAACCCACTTACACCATCGTGCATAAATTCACCCCCTCACGCCGGCTGGTAATTTATGCAGACATCAGCGTGTGTGATGGTAAGAAATATAGAGCAATACCTTTTTTTTTCTGGTGCACTCACTAAAGCTGTCAATAAGCTCCTGACCTGATCCATATCGATACCAGAGAGCGAGTCTGTGACCTGCATTCGGCTGCTGCGCGTGAATGTTTGTGTGGTGAGCGTGCATTTGCGAATGGAATGCCGCCACAGTCTCTCTGACATGGTTCATTTGCATCTATGTTTAGTTCTCAAAGTGTTTTGAGTGAAACAACCCAATAAACAACACATTAGGTGGACACACAAAAACTACTGTCTACTGCAGAATGTTGTATTGAAAATGTCCATTTCCCCAATCTGCCTTACAAATATTTTAAAGATATTTATACAATGAAAACGCCCTCAATTTAGGATGGATGGAGAATGGAAGCCTGCTGTCAGCTGGCCATGACATTAACCATTGCTTAGCGTTGGCAGCTGACAGCCGCCCGTCCCTGATCACTGGTTATTAATCCAGCATTGAGTGGATTACATGTAGGCTGCGTGCAGCAGACCTTTTGCCCCTGGAATAAACCAGGCTCACCACGCTCATAGCAAAGACACACAAAGACACAATTATGCTGTTTGTGCGTGGTTCGCCGTTTGTGCGCGCGTCTTTGCGAACGTGGGCGCGTTTGTGAGCGTGAGAGTCTGTTTGTGCGTGTGCGCGGGCGCGCGTGTGTGTGCGCGTGTGTGTTCATCCGGTCTAAGAACCGGTCGGACAGCGTTTGAAACCAAGTCACCTGAATGCAGAAATGGAGGAGTAGTTTTTACCAGAGGGGGAGAGATAGCGAGGGAGTTAAAGTGTAAGAGAGAGAGAGAGAGCGCGCGAGCGAGAGAGAGAGAGAGCGAGCTCCGGGTACTAAGTCCACGCGGCGACTATCACCGTCCCTTCCTCTCTCCGCCGCTGCTCTCCTCCGGGCTACCGAACTTTTTCTTTTTTTGAAGTTTTCCCTTCGATGACGTCACAGGTCGGTGTAAACGGCTGGCGTGTCATTCCGGTGTCCCGCTGAGGAGGCTGGCTGTCCCGGGACAGACGCACACATCTGGAGTAGCAGACCGTGTCATCATGCCGGTGCGACAGAAAGGTCAATACGTGGTTTTTATTGTGTGTGTCTCTTGTTGGTGACCCTGCACACCTAAAACGGAACGAATGAAACTCGCGGCGGGTTAAAACCACTCGGGGAGAGACTGTGACGTCAGCTCCTCCGACGCTCTCCGCCCGAAAAACTTCTTCTGAAACACCCGCAGTTGAGCACTCATTCATTTATTGGCGCACGCATAAAAAGTACAAGTCATTCATTACTGAAGTTTTTTTTTTTTTAAACTAATTATTCGGACATCGAGTCCAATTCGGCAAACAGGTTTTCCAGCCTGTGTTATTTCCTCTTCATTTCGCACCTGGCTTTGATAGAATCAGTCGGTTCACGCGGAGCCGACAGACGCAGAGAAGCGTTCCGGGTTGTTTGACTGCGTGACGTACAGGTATTTACGTGTGGCACCGAGCGGCCGATACGTGCGTGGGACCCGTTCTGCCTCATAGACACGTAAACAATGCAGCATTCAGTGAAGGCGACGTTTCCCCGCGAGGCGTTCGGTGCCGTCGGTACTTCCGGTCCCATCAGCTGTTCGCACCGCTGGAACGTGAATCTGCGCCTTTCTTCAACAACACGCACTATATTGCCTTCACACCCCCTCGCATCCGACTTATGTTGCGCATTAGTAGCCCAAGAAACTGTTTTGTCACCTATTCTTCGAATGCAGATACCACAAGGTGAAACATACATATGCTTCGTTTTAAATTGTTACCCTTAAAATATCATTAACAAAGCATCCAGTTTTTGGTTGTTGAGGAAGTTGAGGATGAACATGCGCCTCGAGTCACCTTTCCAGAGCAAACAATTGTTTACATCGCTGTACATTACTAATGAGAATGTCTTCATTTGTAATTGCTGTCAAGTGGACAATAGAACATTCGTCATAGTTGAGACAGAGCGGGAAAGCAAACAGCTTCCAAGCTATGGAGGCAGGTGTTATCCATCCGTCTCCCATTAACTGACCCCGAGGGGCTTGAGCCAGTCAGAGTTTTTCCGCCATAGAAAATTGTTTATTAAGTAGAAGCTTTTAATGTAAATCTCCGGGGCTCTACTCAAGAATCCCCGGATAATCGTCATTTCTTACCAGTATGTTCTGTGTTCAGACGCTCAGCGAGCCCTGGAGCTCCTGCAGCAGTATCGGGCCAAACTTGACCAGAGGCAGCAGGACCAGGACCAGAACCAGAACCAGAGCCGGAGCGCAGAGGGCCACGCGGAGGAGGACTCACAGCTGCAGCAGTCTCTGGACAGAGTCATCAATGTCTTCCAAAGTCAGCTCTTCAGCGCCCTGCTTGGTAAGGAAAACTGTTCACTGCTCTCTAAACTTCCCTTTGGAACCTCGTGTCACAACATTGTGTGGAGTTGTTTGGCTCGGATATGTACAGCATCTGCCCCAGGCCAGATTTAAAGGAGATCAAAGTACTTGCATCAGCACTTGGGGGATTTCAGGTTCTCAAAACGGAAACTTGCCTATGTAGATATTTGGAGTGAGTGTACTGACCCTCTCGCTTGGTTCTTGTGCTGGTCTCCACAACGACACTCTCATGGGATTGTGTATGAAGACGCAACGACAGGCGCGCTTGTACAAAGGAGGATCAGAAGGCCGACAGAGCGCGGGGCTCATTGCGAGGGGAAACCAGCGTTGTCGTAGCATCGTTTTTGGGGGTTTATCTCCTGGATCTTGTTCTTGATTGTGCTATAACGTGGCTGTTGACCAGACAATCCCGATCAGAACGCACACACGTAGGTGTGATGTAGCCTGTCAGAGAAAACACAGGGCCCTTTGTAGAAGGACTGCATACGTTTAGAGAACATGTTGCAACTTTAATTCCCTCCCAAGAGTTAACAGTGCGTGCGTGTGTAACTGGTTTGTTCTGCTTTTGGTGAAAGAACCAACAAACTGGTTTTTAAGTCCCTGGTTCCACCTGCTTTGTGCCACACCCCACATTTAGTTCTCACTGTAACACTTCTTTCTGTTTTGTGTGTGTGTTCTTCCCTCAACATGACTTTAATCAAGTAGTGACTGGTGTTGAAGTTGTATCTTTACTATACGTATACGTATACGTATTATACGTATAATGAAGTATACGTCATGTGTTGATATATCTGACATTAGTCCATGGAGGTGGTTTATCATTGTTATTCTAAGTTCCGTCCTTGTTGCCTCATTTATGGTAATTTATTCATACATTCTCCTGCTAAATTCCCTTTTCAGTCTTTTCTCTTTACTCATCATCCTCCGTCTGTCTGTAGATTATTTGTGCTTTTCTCACACACTGTACGTCAGTTTTTCATCCTCTTTATAATCTCTTTTACGACCACCAAATTTATCTTAGCTCACAATCTGGTGACTGATTTGTTGTAGTTCTGTATGCGTAGGTGGGGGAAGTGAAGCCTTCAATTATAACATTTGCTGATGTGCTTACCTATAAAAAGAAAAATGACAGTATTGGGAAACCCTGCTGTCTGTTGTACGGTGGTGGCAGTGACCTCGAGCTACCGCTAGAGGGCAGCAGTGTATCAGCCTTCAATTAGCTCGTCCTATGCACAATATACAGCAATGATATTAAGAAACACGTATTATAATTCTATACAGGGCCGCTACAGATGATTATTTTCATTATAGATTAATCAGTTTGATCATTTTTTTCCGTACAATGTTGAAGAATAATTTCAATCACAGCTTCCCTGAGCCCATAGGGACATTTTATTTTGTTTTCTATGAACTGTCCACAAATCACAAATAGTCAGTTTTTCGTGCTATTTATAGTTAGTTTTTCATTTATTTCATTTTTTATTAATTTATACCGTTTTTTATTGATCAATCCATTCAATGAAATTCAATAAACCTTGATCTGATCTTCTCCTCCCAGACATTCAGGAGTACTACGAGTTGACCGTCCTCACAGACAGCAAGTCGTCTGTGGGTCAGACAGACGCTCACCTCACGGCCGCTGGCAACCTGACGACAGAGCCCCCCGCCCGGCCACAGCCCCCCTCTGTGCCCCCGAGCCCCCAGGCACCCAAAGGACCATCCCAGCCAAAACCCCTGACCCCAAAACCCAAGTCAGTCAAGTCCCATGTCGCTCCGCTCCCATCCGAGAGACCCGCGTCCAAGCCGTCTTCCCCTACGACAAAGTCCACCACACCTCCGTCAAAGCGAGGGTCGGTCAAGTATCGCGCTCCCCTCCCTCCCGTCCAACCCGGAGCCCCCAAGTCTTTGGCATCAGAGCCTCCTGTGCCTTCTTCTGCCTCTGATGCCACATCCCCCAGGGTCACGGCGAATGGCGTAGGAACCCCCGGCGGCTCCATGAAAACACCTCCCGGAGCCTCACTGAATGGCACGAAGCCGCACCTTGCTGCCGCCAAATCCAACACTTCTTCAGAAAGCTCCTTCAGCTCCGCCGATCCAAAAGGTGAGTGCCCCCCCCCGGACCTCAAGCTGGTGACCGTGTCAGCTCTCATCTCCAGCACCGTCAAAGGCACCGTGTTTCCACCCACCCCAGACAGGCTCACCCCCACCAGCACCACTCCTACCACCAGCCCAGGTCTCATCAGAGTCTCAGACGCCGCTGTGGTCTCTACGGCTCTCGAGACAAGCAAGGACGCAGGCCCGGGCAAGGCGACTCGCAGCAGGAGTCCAACCAGCCCCAACAAGGGGAAGTTCCCCTTCAGCAGCCGCAGCCCCACAGGTCCTCCTCATTCCAGGTATGTCCAACATCCATGTGTTTAGGGTGTATTAGCAAAACTGTTAACTGATATTTGAACACGTTCAATGGCTTCAAAATGTCAGTGTGCAATTGGCAATTGGTCACCTAAAGTGAGTATGACTCACAATTTCATCAGTGTGCTGACACTGTTCATGCTAACAAATTAATTTCAATTTATTTCCACTAAAACTAAAACCCATTTATAGAAAAATGTACACGAGCTGAACGTCACTTATAGAAATTAATAAAATGTGCATTTATCAAGTAGAAAATGCCTCAAAATGATTTGTTTTTATGCCTCAAATGATTTCATTCATTTGAAAGTCATCGGAACATAAAATGATGGTGGCTGTTAAAGCAGTGTGTCACATGGGTGAAATCCTCGCTATAATGCAACACCATGCAACACCACTCATTCATGTGCAATAGTAAAGAATAATGACTAACAATCTTCCGAGTTCCCAGACTCCCTCTTTACTCCGCATGTGTTCCTATCCGACCAGGCTCGGGCCAGTGAAGGTCACCTCCACCAGTCCTAGCCATGGCCCAGCCAGCCCCCGACCAGCTACCGGCCCACCGACCCCCAACAAGGTAAGACATCTCGGATTGTTGTTATGCCAACTGAAAATCTCGCCACAACGGATAGTCAAAGTTGATGGGTGATCCGGTTGTTGGTTGCTTGCTTGCGATGACATGTGATTCTGGAAAAGTAGTGACGTTTTGTATGTCTCCTGAGTCTAAGATTAACTATTTTTAAATGAAAAAATTGAATTCAATTTACTCTTTGATTCTCGGAGTTCTTTTCGTGTTTGGTGTACTAATTGTTTGCATGGTAGCCTCATTGTATTCTGTCTGTATAAGCAAGTATTTACTGTATTTGTTGTGATACAGACAGGGTGCTGCATTATCGGCTAAACATTACTTGTAAGATACCTTAAAGAGCCTTGAAATAACCTTTAATCAGAATTCGGATTGGATAAATCTTCACTGGTCTCTTCTTGAACTAGTTTGTGGAAAGGAGGCTGGTGCAGCAGAATGAGATGGACTGAGCTTTTATGCAGGCTGGCTGCTTTGGACATTGGTTCACATTGCATTACGTAATATGACAAGTCCAATCAATTGAGTTCAGCAACATTTAATGCTCCACTAGTAAGAAGAATGAGATCAGAGACATGATCAGGCAAACGTTTTTTGTTTTGGTGATCTTGTTGAAATGGTTACTTGTGGTTCTGGCTGTTTGGACAGAGGCTTATAATGGACACCATGTGGTTTTAAACTGTCCACATCTATGGAAATTGTGCTGATCTTGACTTACTTTGCTTCACACTAAGGATTTCAATCAGGTTCTGTGCAGCAAAATACTGACTTAATTGTGTTGCTTTTATTACTGAGTTTGGTGGTAACTCCAGTCATGTGCTGCTCAAGTATTCCTAATTTATTTATTCATTAGAAACTGGGGTTCATTCAGTTTTTTTGCCAGTAATTGCAAACAGGCAATTTTGTGTTTACTGACCAAAGTTTAAATGAAGGCAATCACATTTTCTGCATCTTTTTTTCTTGTCACCACTTTATTGCACTTCTTTAAATAAATAATATAACTTGTGTTGAAAGGCGATGTAAGTAATTAAGACCCAATAACAATATTCATATAGCACACATTAAGCAGCGCAGGCGGTCTGTTATCTCTCTGATGGCAGCAGTGAGGATTACGACTCCAGGGCCGGAGGAGGGGGGGCTGGACAGAAGTAAAGTAGGACAGCAACAGAAACATTTGGATGAGACATTTTCCACCCAAATTTCTCTCCCAGCTCTGCCGGTCTTGCATAGTACAGTAAATAGTTTCCAATTGAACATCTGCCGTGGTGATGTATGCAAGTATCTGGGTAAAACCCAGTATCCTCAGTGACTGAAGTCAAATCCCTTTCTGTTTCATAAAGCTTCAGGGAGCAACTTGAACTTTGCCATTACCCAAAGTTGAAAGTAGAGCATCCATTGCTATTTCGCTTTTTAACTCTTCACTCACTTTAACCACCCACTTCTGCCAGGGACTGACCTGATAAAACGGCAGAGTGGTGTGTGTGTGTGTCTGTGCATGTCTGTCTGCGTGATTGTTTGCCTGTGCATCCATGTGTATGCACTGCTGCACTTGCCTCTGCACGTTTTTTGTTTTTTTTTGTTCAGTATTTGTGTCGGGTGTGTTCTGCGTGCGTGTGCTGATACATATTCTGAACCGCGCACTCTTTGAGGGCAAAATGTGTCTACCAGCTGCCATAAAACCAAGACAGCAGCTGGAAAACAAGAGGGCGGGCCGAGGTGCACCGGGACAGCTGCCATGTTTTCCGAGACGGCCTCTGTTTAAGCGGAGGAGTCCCGTCTGGCTGCTCCGGTGAAAAGGACAGGTGGAGAGGACATGAGAAAGGGAGGAGAGAGCGAGAGAGCGAGGGATGAAAGAGGAGGGCGCGAAGGAGGGGAGGGAGACGGACAGACTGCAAAAGGATGTCACCAAATGCAACAAGCATCTGAGAGGTGGAAGTTGCGGCTCGAAGATGTTTTGATGGAAGTTTGTCAGCCGGACTGGTGAGGATGGACTGCATCTGCATCCTCACTACCAAGGTGAGACTCAGGAAGGGAGCGGAGAGAGATGGCAGGAGGAGAAGGGGTGTTCAGCCTCACATCAATTTTTGAAATGACTAAATTATGAAGATTTTGTGTTACGTTTTTCCTCATGATGGTATTTGTTCATTAATTTCAGTCAATACTGCAATACTTCTATGTCGACATTTTGTCTAAAATAGTGTGTGAATCCCGAATTGTATTATTATTATCAACTCTCATGAAGACAGCGTGATTTGTGGGACGGAGACCTGCAGTCCTGTTAGGGTGGAATTCCTCTGAAAGCATCCGGAGGAAGCATTTCAGAATAAACTACAGGCTTTGCAGAAATGACAGCAAGCTAAGTGCACCTGCTATCAATGAGCCATATCAAATTGGTGACGGGTTGCTTATTGGACGGATGTTATCGATGTGCTGTTTTCTGTGGATAAAGAGACTTAAGGTGATGTCTTACAGAAACTGGCTGTCCTCTAACAAAGTCATTCTACTGGGAGTTGCTTGGCTGTTGGTCTGACAACATGTGACACCCAGAGAGACGGGAAACTGGGTTGATGGTACACGGCCTTGAAAAGACGAGCTGACGGATTTGCTGGTTGACTGACTGGTTGGCACGATTGTAAGCATGCATTATGCACATATGTGCACGCTCAGGAATGAATGGCCCATTTAAAAGCAGCAGGCCCGGTGTGAGCTGGGATAAGTCCAAGCCTGCCCCCCCCCCCCCCCCTCCACCTGCACAGGATGGGAGAGTAGAGGCAATGTTGAGAATGTTGTGTGGCGTGTGAGACTGTCTAAGTCAAATAAGGAAACCGCACGTTTTTAGGACCGTATCTCTTCAAAGGCATCCAATCCATCGCACAGCTAAAATATAAAGAAATGACAGAAGTAGTGTGAAAGGCCGAATCTTCAAAACGTGCATACTTTGTTACCTTCTTCCCCCACCTGACCAATGTCTACACAGAGACCCCCCCCCCCCACGTCTTCTGGCATTGGGGAGAATTTGGTGGATGGGGATTCAGAAGCTGTTTGATGACCTTACAGACACTTTGAAACTTTTCATTATACATGGTTACTGTAACAGAATGAAAGATGTTGAATGTGTGATTATATGCTAGTTCAGGCTTAGTCTTGGTCCCCTCTCCATCTCATTTTGGACACAGTCTTCATTGTGCTTATTCAAGGACTCTGCTTAAGTGTTCATAGCCCATTGTCTGCTTAAAGGACACAAACTTTGACCTTTGTCTAGGAGCCAGTTCTTGAGCTTGTTAATCAGCTATGCTAATCACGATGACCTCTACACCCGAAGGCCAACTCCGGAACTTTAAATCCAACTCAGGACTGAGACCTTCACTCACACACAGACGCACACACACACAGACTGCAGGGATTCCATCACACATTCATCTTGTTAATCTTGTTCATCTCATTAGGATAATGGCTTGAAAAAACGGAGGGTATTTTCCAGCGTGCGAGACTTCTGGATTACTGCTGGAGGAGGTTTCTGTACATCCTGCTTGATTCGTTTCACGTCTCTTTGACGCTGTTTAGACTCTTCTGCTGTTTGCCTTCTGGGTTAATAGAAAAGGAAATTTAAGAATTGAGGACATTTGTTTAGAACAAAAATAACATTTTCGTGAATAAAATTCCTTGACTTTCCAGAAACAGATACGCTTTCGTACAGCTAGATCTAAGCAGAAAGCAAATCTATCTTACCTTCAACACTAAACCATCAACCACAGAGATGACACATGTATATCTATATATATGTATATATATATATATATATATATAGTACTTATGCTTGTGGAGGACATCCCGTACGTGAATTAGACTTCCTATCGATACTCTTGTCCGAGCCCTTTTTCCTCTTAAATCCCGACCTGGTTTTAGCAGTGGGTGATTCTGGCCTTCTGTGCTGCAAGGGAGCAAGAGTACCTCCTAAGAGGCTTACCGTAGGCTGCTAATAGACTTGACAGAGCCATGTTAAATTGGACAAAGGGGAGAAAAGGGAGCGGAGAAAGAAAAGCGACGCACGCAAAGACCGAAGGAAGAGGAGAGATCGAGTCTGTGTGCGAGCGCACCAGTTCCCCGCACAACATTTCTGGGCGGCTTTACTGGATTTTGCCAGGAAACTCTGCTTCATCATTCCACCGATCCATCCATCTGTGCAACCGTCCAGCTGGCACTGTGATGTAACTTTGAGGAGGGGTCACGGCCGACAAATTAATGAACGGAGAAAGCATGAGAGGAGAGGAGGGAGAGAACTTCCCAAGCAGCGGCAGGACTATTGAGCCCCGAGCTACGCATCTGCAGTAGCAATGCAGTGCGGGGCGGATCTCACTGGCTAGCGGGGTTCAGGGATCCCCACCTGTTGTGACGAATTGGACTGTCTGTGTGTGTTCAGACAGCCCCGCCCGTCGTGGGGCTGACACCTACCGGGTCAGTGGCGCGGGCTACATGTGAAGATGGACCATCGTAACTGTTCAATCAATGTAACGTATCTTCCCTTACTTGAATTACAGTGTCTGACTCGCCGGCTGCGGGTTTCACTCAGGGAGTTAGCGCCAGTCTCGTAACCACGGTAACAGAGTTGCTACGTCACCTGAGGTTAACAAATAAATGACCAGCAGGCCGCTATCTGTGTTTTGATGTGTGTGTATGTAAAACGTCACAATTCTTCTTATCAGCTCTGTTTTCTACTTTTCAACAACATGATTTTACATATTATCTACATGTACATGCGTAAGGCACAAGTGAAGTAATGTAAATGCACTTAATTCAATAAAAAGCAACACATTGTATTCTTCTGTATATTTTAAGCCACTATTTTGGAACAAGATGTGTATCACAGCCGTCTGAAACACTGTGATATAAAGTCTGATAGTTTCACACAACTGTAGAGTACAGCGAGGCAGGCGGACGGACACGCGATGGACACTTGTCCCTTTTATGTTAGAAGGGACACAATGAGCCTGATCACATTTCGGTGGTTCAGTATATTAGAGTTCTTGCATAAGTATCTCTGGCCTTTAACCTGGCCAGACTGCTCCGCATGAATGAAGTTCCCTTTGTCCCCGTGTCCACAGGGACAGGATGCCGTTAGCTGTGTCGCCTCCTCTTGTTGAGCCACCTCAGCAAACAGGCGAACAAGCTAACATGAAATAGTTCTGCCTTTGTCATGGCTGAGTACAGTCGCAGCAGCTAATCCCATTAGGCAGATGACTAATCTCTGAGGAGCCACACATACACACACGTAAAACAATTCACAGATGCCAACCTATATATATATATATATATATATATATGTATATATATATATATATATATATATATATATACACACACAACTAGGCTGTCCACTGGGTTCAGTTCGGTTAGCTTTAGTCTCCTTATTGATTTCTTTTCTTTTTTAAACGGCTTTGACTCACTGTGGCTTTCCCCGCCTGTCAGGATAGTTTAGAGAGAGATCAGGGCCCTATAAGTGTTCCTCGTATATTGCCCTGAGCTACTGCTAGAATAAATGCAACAATTGCCCTGGAAATGATGATTTGTGGAGATTGAGAGCAGAAAACTTGTTTGATTTGTCCCTGTCTCATTTTGGTGACTTTGCTCTCTCAATTGGTTTGTTTATATCCATTAAATAAATTCAGCCATCATATGGCTTTAACCGTACTTTAAAAAATAAATAAAAATGAGTACATTAATTCATATGAAATATACACTATATGTATGGTTTAAGTAATTCTATGTGTACTTCCAGAGCCATAGCGACTGTGCATTTATTACTGCTGCCTTACAACTCATATATACGTCGGTGAACAACATAAGATGCTATAAGCTCCTTCATTTCAAATAAGGGTAAAACCCCCAAAAGCGTGTATTAGACATGAATAATATTGACATGAGCATATTGTCCAGGTACTGCTGTGTCTGTGTTTTGCCACATAGTGGCACTATATGCACGACAAACACAGCTACGTTGGGTGCTCACATTATAACTCTGCAGAGACTTGACTCTCCTGACACTTATTTGTCCTTTGGAAATATAAAGTGCTCAATAAATGACAGTCCGTGACTGCGGTAAAACGCTAAATTGTCTGCTGCACAGATATTTGGAGCTGCAGGGCTTCAGCGGCAGTCTGCGTGTCCCCACACAGCGTTTCAGAAAGGGAGGACGAGAGCTAGAGAGGAAAATTCACTCATGTGGAATCTGAAGACACAGCTGGTTAGAGCTAATCACATGAGTATATTTGAAATGTTGATGTATGGAGATTTGTTCATGTGTAAAATGGAGAATACGACACTATTGGCTAGTAGTGAGTGTATGAGGTTGCCACAAACACACAGTGTAGTTATTTCTGTACTGGCTGACCTACTAATGTTAACATGTAGTGCATGCCTGCTAGGCTCATGAGGTTGTGTCCACTGCCTCTCTCTCTCTCTCTCTCTCTCTCCCTCCCTCTCATTTCTACCTCATTTTTTCCTTTATTTTCATTTTCTTTGTCTACCGTTCAGTTACTTGATGTGTGATTTTGCCAATGTGACATTAGATTCTATCTTTAAACTCACATGATTATGTTATAAGCCATATGAGCTAACACGCCTGTGGCTATCCCAGATGTATGAATGTGTTAGTGTGTGTGCGTGTGTGTGCGTCTCCATCTGTTCCTTGCCGAACACAGAGCGACTCTAAGGACAGCTACTTACTTACTTACTTACTTGACCCAAAGCTGACCCTTTGAAAGCATGAAAGTAACCTCCAGGTCCAAAACAGAACGTGACTCTGCATGTACACGTTGTCAGGCATAACTTTTATAATTTCATGACATTTCAATGAATGTAATCTTCACTTCTCTTTTAACGCTCCCGGGAATACGTCTTGGGCCCTCAGCAAATGTTTATTTTAAAGAATTTGGCCTCAATGTTTGCAGAGTAATGATGTTCAAGATTCGCGGAAAAACTTTGAGGCAAGTGTAGAGGTCCAGAAATGTCGTCCACCAAGCCTGTAAACTCCAAAACACACCAAAGAGGATCGTGTGGATTACTTGTTTAAAATCTAACCAAATTTAGTTAATTTGTAAGCGATTACAAATTCAAAAGCAACCAATTGAATAACATAACATTACGAAATAGTCGGACACCAAAAAATATTGATAAAAGATGTTATTGAGGTTGGATGCAAATATGTAAAATACAGAACACTTTCCAGAAATGTAATGTACACAGAGAGATTTGAGGCTTTGCAACATGCTTAGCACATTCATTATTCATGCTTAATAGCTGCAGAACACAAAGTTGCACATGTGTCAGCGTTTGCATCAGCAGTTTTTTTGGAGACAAGCTCAGAATAACCTTTCATGTCATTGCATTATTTAAATGACTTGTCTACCTGCATCAATTTCTGGACTTAATTGGCTCCTCCAGGCTTTGTCTGTTGGAACCATTGCTGATCACCAGCTTGAAATGTAACCCGGGGCGTAGTCTTGGTTTGCGGATTGATTCAACCTTTCGACGACTCCGAGTCGGTGACCTTACATTCACCCTCAGTCTGCCTCGCGTTCCGCTTCCTCGTGCTATGTTCCTCTCTATCTGTCTTCCTCTCGCTCATGCTGTGTTGTTTGTTTCCCGGTCGCGGCGAGGAGTCGGAGAGACGACCGCGCGTGTTTGGGTCGGTGTGTTCGGGTGTGGAAGATCGGCCCAGATGGCCCAGCCGTCAGCATCAAGAGTCTCGGCTGAAGATTAAGCTCTCACTTGTTTGACTTCCTCTGCCCTTTATCTCCCATAAATCCTTCCTCTCCTCTCCTCCAAATTCCTGTTATAAAAGAGAAAATAAAAACTTTGACTGTTTGCATAAATAGCAACATGGACAAATTTACACTCAAGATAAACTTCTCTCTGGTTTGGTTTAACGCCATATGATGTGAAGTAAATGTAGAGTTTTGTAGTTCTTTGAATAGATTATTAATACAATTTAATAACCATATTTTAGTGTTACAGTAAACAGCAGAAAAAAGAAGCATGTTTTATATACTGTGTATTATTACAGCCTATTGCTATTAATTCAGAAAGGCTAAACAGGCTTAGCCACGTTTGTTTTTTCAGCTCCATGAATGGCCCATCGGCCCATCAGTTGAATATCACAATTAAACCGCAAATAACTGGATACAGAGACGAGCCAACAGCCATCGCCATGCTTAGACTGACTGAAAAAGGGCAGCCACCTCATTCATTTTAATAAGGCCAGCTAGGCGACACAGCAGGGATGCTGTGGAAACAGATGCTCCAGCTAAAAATTGCCGCAAAAAAGTTTAACCTTCCTGTAAGGTCTAAATGTCAATTGACCAAGTTTCCCTTTTAGTGTGTGTGTGTCTGCGGGTGGGTACGTGTGTGTTTGAAATGGATCATGACAAGATTGTCTCTGCGTTCCCTCTATGTCTCTCTGTCCTGCTCCCCTCATCAAAGTTGCACGTGTGTGTGTGTGTGTATTTGAGCGCATGTGTACTGGTATGCAACTATACAAGGCAGAGCATCACTGCAGCATGTAGGGAGAGAGGGAGAGAGGGGGAGAGAGAGAGGGAGGGGGAGAGAGGGTACATTGGAAAGACACATTTTGAATCCTCCCTCCACCTCTGTGTGCAGGTCTCTTCTTATATTCCCCTTTCTTTTTGTCTCTCATTGATATTGCTGTTGAGAGGCTGGCCAAGGGAACCAGCGGAGCGGAGCGAGGGAGAGTGAGCAAACCTGGGAGAGAGAGAGAGAGAGAAGGGAGGGGGGGGAGGGAGAAGGGCAGCGATGGAACGAGAGAGGCACACTCACACAGATAGAGAGAGAGGAGATCGAGGACTGGGACTGCTGCTACAGAGGAGGGCAAGAGAGACCACATCCATTCTGACACGCACACACACGCATGCACACACACGCACACACACACACACACACACACACATTCGTGCACACATGGACTGACCTACACATTCTGACAACAACAACAACATATTGAAAACACAAACCCATGTGCTGACAGATTCAAACACACACACTGAGGAACACGCAGACCATGTTGCTCCCCGCCTCCTGACCAGCAATGAGGATTACACTGATGAAGATGATGATGACGATGAGAACAGTAAAGAGTGCGAGGGAGAGGACACCGGCCTGCCACAGCTGAGGACCGTAGCCAGGCGGTGGGATTGGGGAACGGGGGAGGGGGGGCGGAGGGGGGTGGCCAGGGGGCAGTAGTGGTGGGGGGGGGGGGGTATTTGTGGGATTGGGAGGTGGATGGAAGGCGTGCATGTGCACCTGGGCGTGCCTGTGTGGATGTCTGTGAGTGTGAAATGTGTGTATGAGGACTAGGATGCCCCCCCAGCGCGGGACCAGCTAGCTTACGTTAGCCACATGTTGTGCCACTGCAAAGTAGCATGCACCAACAACACCATATCTCTGATGTTTGGATGCAAGGTAGGTAGAACGCTGTGTGTAGTGTTTATGTGTGTGTCTGTGTGAGAGAGAGAGGCATGCATGGAGTAAAGGTAACAGACAGTTACAACTGACTCAGTAAAAATGTGCTGATGGAGAGAAGGAAAGAGGTAATGACTAAGCTGTGAGAGAGAGAGAGAGGAGATTGTGCTGTACATCTTCTAAGCCTTTCAACTACAACTGTGGTATCTTACGCTTAATTCATTTGAATTCCCCTATAAAATGCATTTAAATCTCTTCTTTGTATACCACAAATGGAATTCATAAACTAATAGACAACTTTTCAAAAAGTTTATATATAGCAGGTATTCAAAGTCATTTTTTTACCTTATAATCTTTTGGTATCAAAGGGTATTTCGGTTTGATGTCCAACCACCCTATCTACTTTTTTATTTTACTGTAGTTATTTGTGTAGACATGATTGCAGAGTTGACTAGTGTGGCACTGTTGTAGGGCTTGTGTAGTTTGCATGTGGGTCCTGTGTTAACGTTGGTGCTCTGCATTGCTTCACACAGTCGGCAGTGGTGAAAGTTTGGGTCCGTTGGAAGCTCTGCGCTACAGTTATTATGTAATAGCCACGCTGTAAAGAAAAATAAAGTACTGCCTTCCTCCCTCTCTCTGCTTTACATCTAATGATTCTATTATAAATGTCAAAACCGATCTATTGCATCTCTAACCCAATATTACATGACTAACACCACAAACCTTATGAGAATACTCACTAATTACACAACACAAGGTCATGCTAAGTGAATGAGCATAGGCTAAAATTGGCATTCATCAACTTGCAAAGTACTATGAAACTGTTAAGTGGAAAATCAGCACATGAAATATTGAAGTTCCTCCGAGTGCCGAAGGAACTGTTCCTTTGATGTGGAGGAACTGTTGGTACACACTGTGCTGCATCTGTGAATTGCCATTAAACACACAGCTAAACCAAAAGAAGGCTTCAGGAATGTCTGTTTCAACTTAGTCTAAATGGTCACTGGACATGAGCTTGGGAATCAGAGTGAGAGACACCCAGAATTAACGTGACTTAAGCATCAACTGGTTTGTTATTGTGTTACTGTTATACTAATAAACCATCTGCACACCGCAGAGGCTGGTGTGAGAAGAAATTCACTAAGTGAGGCAATATAAGACGATACAGCATTGAACTGCGTGCATCTGAGCATGCATTGTTATGCTGTTGTCCAGTTCAGCAGCTAGGCATAATAAAGTGTTTGGACCTCACTTATGTCCTATTAGATCACCTCACCATGACAGCCTGGTAGATAGAGGCAGACCCAGAGACAACTGTAAGGCGGGGAGTTATATATATCTGTACATATATATATATATATAAAAATATTTGTCTAGCTGGAGAGGGTAACGGCAGAGTGTGTCTCGAGAATAATAAGAAGTGGCTCAGGGCTTTTTGGTGTGTAGATGGTATTTTTGGGAGAGGATCGTGTTGGTCACCAGTGCACCGGACATCTATACATCAGGAAGGAGGTCGGGTCAATGCAATAATGAACTAGATCAACCTGCACATGTATGTTTTTCATGCATTGCCTGGTCTATTTCAAACTAATTTAATGCAGAAACATGTCTTCATGTAAAAATGGATCCATTCTTATTTTACAGAGTTAGCAGCCAATGCTTGGATTGCTGATGCCTGGACAAAGTTAACATTTGTTTCCCTTGTGTTCCGGTGGTTGTCTGCTAAAAAGTGTTGAATTTGAGGCCACTGCAGGATGTATTGTCTTTGCACTCATGCACACAAATAAAATTAAAGTAATACTTTAATTGTCACCGTATAGCTGTAACGAAATGAAAAAAGTCAAATACTATTCGTTGCCCTGTTGAGTGATGTTATCAGGTTGAGATCTTAGTTATTCTAACGGTTCTTTTTAACAGGGAGATTTTAGAAAATATATTGATGCACTGCAAATATGTTAGATGAACTGTCTGTCAAAACAAGGAAAGAAGTACAGTGTCTATAACAGTTTGCAGCTGACATCCCTCTTGTTTACATTTCATCACTATTCCACCCAAATTGTCCAGTAGGGTGGGGGAAGTACCGCTGAACTTGGCTGAGCTCTCTTGAGACGGCCTGTGCGCCCTTCTAGTGCTGAGTCAGCAGGGAATGCTCATGTTGTGTTGCGGACAATATACAGCGAGGTGGTTGCACGGTGCCTGTGTCACGCTCTTGACTTGAAGATCTATTTCGCCCAGTTAGAGGAGGAATTTGTTTACACCCGGCTTAGTGCTGGAGGGTTTAGATGGACTGGTTTTGCAATGGATTGCGTTTGAATTAAAACCACATTTTAAAAAGAGAGAGAGGATCTTTAGAGAGATACATCAACAGTCTACGCCAACTAGAAGTAGTATACATCACCTGGATTTGTTTAAATTCGTGGTCACAACAAGTTAATTTATTCAGTGATTTAATTTTGAAACCATCTGAAATATCCACTATTGGCACTAACTTGAATACAACTGATTTTCAGCTTTCCAGTTTTAGAGAATTTGAGCAGAACCAGCAGTGTTTAGGGTAAACGTATATTCAAATACACTATTTTAATATTTATAATGAATGAAAAATAAACTTACTCACCACACTGTATGGGATGAAGTGGGCATGTCTATAAAGGGGAGACACGTGTGTGTCATTAAAGAACATTCCCATTAAAATATTGTGAGATGGACGTAAAAGGACCCCAATGAAAATAGCCACGCTAGCTTTGCCCTGCAAAATGTAGCCTAGGTTTACAGCCTTGAAGCTTGTGTATTGTTGCTAACAGTATTAGTCTTCTAGTTTCCTGTGATACCAGTGCCGTCTTGTAGCTTTGAAACCGCAGATGTCGGCCGGGTTAAGTACCGTGGGTTCATTGCAATATAATGCTGACAGTGAAGTGTGGACACGCTATTCATCAGTGTGGAAGAAACTGAATTCACATTTGGTAAAATGAACAACATTTACACTTTTGTCTTCATTTTTCATTTGATAAAGGAGTCTGAAATGACATTATAGTTAATGACATAATGACAGTTTGCTGCTTAACTGCTGATCATAATTATTATTTTTTTCATTTTGGATCCTGTGTATTCATTAACATTAGCATTCGTTAACACAGAAAACATACATTTTTATGAAAGTGAGATTGAGCTACGTAATTTTCACCTTGCCAGTAATCTGTCCGTTACTGAGGATGTATGAGTGACAGGAAAGATAAATCAAACACACCTTAACTAGGTCATATTTTTCAACACATTCAAAATAGATGAATTTGTTCCTCTATTTCTGCTCAGGTCTGCTTTCTTTTTGCTGGAGTGACTGAAGCCGTAGACGAG